AACGTAATTATAAAAATTTCATAATGACCCTCTTTTAGATTGTCATTATCAAGCCTGGAAGTGATCACGTGACAGTCTTTATTTATTATCTACATGCCAAAAATTTATCGTCAACTCTCAGGCTGAACTCTATCATCAGATGTACTTTTCAGGCGGTCTTTCAAGCCTGTCAGTCAGTCAGTAACAACGTAGAACTTCGTACGTACGTACATCAGTTCGAGTCGCCACACCAAATTAGCACAGAAATGCAGTCGTCGATTCACATTCCGTATCCTGTATCATCGACATTCTGTGCTGCCCATTCTATATACATTCAGTAGCGACTTTAACTGAATCATGGTAACGTTCTCAAATATTTAATGATATCTTATGTTCATTTTAACATACGAAAACGTTCAATGCATTTCATCGGCTACAAAGGTGTTGGTGAAAACGAAATGCAAACTAACTATGTATGTTGTTTGCGTGTAATGATAATAACGTTGTAACTAATAACAAACTTTACCCATAATTGTGATATGACAAATTTACACATAGTCATTTCCAGACTTCAGACTTCATTATGCATGCAGTCATTGAATGCTTTACGTACTTCTTTGGACAACATCACGGCGACTCCATAAGTGTGTTTAGTATTTTCATATTCTTGACCAAAGTACAGCGGCATATATATTGAATGTATCTTTTTATATCCAGCTTGAGTCCAGTGTTTTTCACTTGTTCAGAGCATCTCCCTTACTCCTGTAGCTAGTTGGCTGTTCCTCTCAGTCTCCCACATTGTCCGAACATTCCATGTATCTATATCAACGGTTGTTCTGGTTGTTAGAAGGGGCATCAGCATCGTAACTTCCGAATAATATCCGCTTTCATCGTGAGGCGTCATACATCTTCTGATAGAAGATCCTCCATCTCGAAGGACAGAGTTTGAGTGGTTCGGATTGCTTGTTCTGGTTAGCCATTTTGTATCAAGGTTGTTTTATGTACGACGGGGTCGCGGACCCTTTTCCCAACAATCCTCGTTTATCCAGGTTCAGGGCCAGTATTAGCCCTAGACTGGGACTTGTACATAAGAACTCGAAACTGCATGTGATATCCACTTAGTTATTCTGTATATTTGTTCCACACAAATCAATAAATTTTTGCACATCAACAACTGTAGGGCTGAGGGTAGAATATGAGAATCGTTGATTTATCGAACGATGTTTCATGGATTTTTCGAAGAAAAAAACTGGAAAATTTACCATTGTGTCATTAAATTATATGGCTACTCAAAAGTGTGACACAAAGCTTTAAGTGGGTGACAAAATTTATTCTGTTTCACAAATACCATGCTTCAAAAAATGTTAGATATGCTTCATATGAATTTGAATCTAGGGTTCTGTTGAATATAACCCAAGTGATGATCAAAATTATTTATTATGCTCTCCACAGTTCATCCGTAGATAGCTTGGAGAATAGCATTCAGGAAGATAAGAGGACATGTAAATAAGCCTCATATATTTCTTCACTGAGCAATAAGAATAGAACTAGGGATGTACAGTAAAAATGGAACCGATCCCTTTGTAATACATTGTTCATATACCTCTTCAACTTCGTACATAATTTCAAAATTTTTGTAAGCCAACAGAGCCCTAAACAGATTGTTCTACGTGCCTGCACACCTTATGGTAAATCACTTCCCAAAATAAGTAGCTTTGTAAGCAGCTGAAGTACTGCAACAGAGAAGAAGCTTTGTCAGTTTTGGTGAGTAAAACGTAGCACGGCCGACTGAATTTTCCAAGAGAATGCTAAATACATACGTTTAGACGGATAGTACGCAACAGAAGTATTTTAGATAACCACTTTCAATCAGCCGTATAAAATGATCAATATTCATCTCAGATTTCTGAAGGATGTGTAGTGGTAAATAAATCCTCAAAATAAATAGCTCCGTAAGACTTCAGCATTCGATGCTGACCACATTAATTGTAATGGACTCATCTAGCTGAAGGCGCTAGGTCATGCATCCGCACCAGATCACGAGTGGTAACGCCGTGTTCAACAACCCAGGCAATCGCTAGCCAGATTAGATCAGATGATCCTCGATATATTGATAGCAAATCGAATATATCTTCGAAACTCCTTTCTTTTGTCTTTTGATTTTACATGGTGGGTGCGCTTCATATTAGGTGTTACTGGTTAAAGCGTTGTCAAACTCCAAATACATGTGGCATCTTCTTTGGTGAGCCTATTCTATTCTTAAACGCGGACATCTGGCCGATCAACAAAAGTTAGACCAACTCCTCAATAGCATCGACCGGCAACATGGTTCTGCAACAGACATGTTGCAACGAATGAGAAAAGTTATAGGCCAAAGAACTTTCGATGATGGTCTATTTAAACATCTTTTCTTGTCGAAACAACCTCAACAGGTGCAAGCTGTGCTTGTCTCGTTCCACAACAACGCCATAGACGAGCCAGCTGCATCTGCCGACCGCATTTCAGAAATCACAATATCCATCAAAGAAAAGCTTCAAACGACCCAGAACGACATAACAAAGTTATGTCATACACTTACACGTTATCTTAAATATCGTAACGGCCGTAAACTGTCACACACCTCACGAACAATCACTTTAGGCAGGCTATCTCCCTCTAGGTCAAGAGAAACTGATAACCCCGACTGGTGCTGGTATCATAACCAGTATGGAAAGTCATCTAGAAATTGCAGAAGACCCTGCGATTTTCTTAACTCAAATTCGACCGACACGAAAAACAATTCGGGAAACTTTCAAGCCGGCATGCGTTAACGGCAACTGTAGCCGGCAAATATAGCCGTCTGTTATACGTCACAGATGTTATAACAAAAGTTCGCTGCCTCGTCGATACCGGCGCAGAAGTTAACGTTCTCCCAGCGAATTCTAACGACCGGCTTCACGAATCGGTCTTAAATCTACAGGTGGCAAGCGGAAATCCTATCGCTACATACGGTAAAAGGTACGTTTACCTTAACGTGGGTTTACGCAAACCCATACATTGGATTTTCGTTGTTGCAGATGTTTCTATACCAACCATTGATATAGACCTTCTACAACACCATGGTCTACTCATCGATACGCGCAAACGGAGGCTAGTAGACAGATACACTAATTTATTTGTCTGCGTAACTTCTTTTTCTGGTTGCAGATTATCCCCAGTCATTAAGCATACGATGGACCCATTCTATCAACCACTACTCGATAAGTATTCTGGGATATACCAATCACAACCAACATTACCTTGTGTAACCAGCAATGTTACACATCACATCTCTAAAGCACGACGACTAGCCCCCGGAAAGCTAAGATTGGCAAAAAACGAGTTCGACCACATGATAGACTTAGGAATCATACGACCGTCAAATAACCTATATGCATCTCCGCTGCACGTGGTCCCTAAAAAGGACAGCAACAACTGGTGTCCAACTGGAGACTATCGATGATTGAATGCAAAAGCCATTTCCGATCGCTACCTGTTGCCTCACATTCACGATTTGACAGCTACCTTGAAAGGTACAACTGTCATTCCGAAAATCAACTTGGTTAAAGCGTATAACCAAATACCTATGGCTACTGACGATATTCCGAAAACAGCTATCATAACTCCCTTCGGACTCTACGAATTTTTGCGAAAGCCTTTCGGTCTAAGAAACGCTGCACAAACCTTTCAAAGGTTTATAGACAACGTTTATCGAGTTCTCAACTTCGTACATGCGTATGTTGATGACTGTCTAATAGTAAGTCCGGACAAAGAACCGCAACTCCAGCATCTGGATTTCTTTTTCGATCGACTACAAAAACATGGCATTACTGTAAACATTCAGAAATGCGAAATCGGAACCGACTCATTAAACTTCCTAGGACACTCTATAGATGCGCAAGACATTCGACTCCTTAGAGCCAAAGTTGCGGCCATTCTGGATTACCCGGAACCGACCACCGTCAAGCAATTACGCACGTTCGACAACCTTGTAAGTTTCTATAGACAGTTCATACTTAAGTGCGCGTCACTTATGAAACCGCTAACCGACCAACTTCGTGGAACTGCGAAATCCATCAATCTAGACGACACAGTGAGAAAAGCATTCTCCACAATTAAGGAACTTGTCGCTAAAGCAACTATGCTTGAACATCAGGACACTGAAGCACCTATTAGTACTGCAGTAGTGGGAGTGTATTGTAGGGTCAGCAAAATGTCACCAAGCCCTAACCAAATCATTCGGCGGTTGGGTCACTGAATATCAAACCGATCATCGACCTCAGTCAAGGTCAAGTATAACCAGTCACTTAGTCGTACGCCATGAACTGGCCCATGCATGGGGGTCTTACGTTCATTTAAATATCCATATTCGTGTGTACCAAATAATCTTATTCACCGTACTTAGGAATTATGTTATATCGCGTTTAAATAATCGAAATCAGAACAACCGTATGCTGTTTGAAATCGTAAGTACACAAAGTCGCATGATGCAAATTTGGAGAATTACGGAAATTTTGTATGCTATTACACAGCCGCGTCATTAGCGTTGTTTGAATTCATTCATGATCTGGTGTACGAAATTCATTTAAGTAACAATTACAAGATAGTTAATGACTCTTGTGAAGTAACAAGTATTGCTTCACTGTTTATTTCCTATTGTCTAGATGGCGTAATTAAATGAAATTGTGTCATACGCCTGAACAAGCAGTTTCATCCTAAAAATCTCTACGTCTTAGAACTTTTGATCCAACACACTAAAACTCTGCTAACAAAAGTAAATAATTCCACCAGCGATTTTTCAATACAATAGGTTACATTGGTGAAGCTTAACTTCACATAAATATCCGCATTAGCGTACGTCTAATAAATATCATCTGCTAATCAAGCACGCAACAAAAGATGTAACAGTTTTTTTATTTTTGCCAAGGCAGGGTCTTTATTATTTTCTCACTATCAAGACATTAGATGTTTAATTTGTTTAAACACACTAACGATTTTATCCTATTGACAGGTGATTTTTAAAAGGGCGTGGATGACCTAGGTTTTCTCATCTTGTTTATTGTATTTCGGTATGTTGACTTGAGAGGTCGTTATGTATCTCACATCCAGTTAAACTTATAAAGGAGTAATAAAAAATCAGCTTTAATCGTAATAAATAACTGTCGTAAGGTAAATTATCCCTTTTAATAAAGTAAGAATGACAAATTTACATCAACAAATACATAATAAAATTTTAATCAAGGTTTGTCACATCTTAGGGTTTTCGTCACCACTCGGTATCAGTCATAATGCAGTAAGTTTAAGGTTAGGATGAAGAGTCAAGCTGGAGTTTTGAGTTGAATTTCCTAATTGGGGTGAGCGTTTTCAACACGAACTGACAGCAGCTATAACACAATGTTTTCCTATCTTTCTGGTTACAAGCCTGACAAACGTAGGGCTGATAGTTACAGTGATAGTAAGAAAGGGAGAATATCTAGATTCACTAAACTCTTGATTACTTAATAATCGGCATAATGTACTTAGACACAATTTTGCTCAAAATTAAGTATGTCATGTAATTTAGCTTAAGCGCCACCTAAACTCCACTTTGCCGTTAAATAGTAGATATTTCCATTGTTTTCAAATTTTAAGAACCGAATTCGTTGATTTTCATTTGGTTCATAATGACACGTTATCACTCCACTTAGAACTTTGCGCAAGATAATTGGATGCTATCTGAATTCCGATTAATAACTAAAGGTCGTCAGCATATTTTGCTTCTGTAGGATATTATTTTCCGCCTTTATGTTTTCTTCTGGTGAACCATACATCCGTCTTTTCAAACGATGTCACTTCTTGATTTCGGGAGCTGCTGTGCGACTCAATAATTCTATACATTTTCATGATTAGTTGTATCATTTTCACATTGTTTGGAGATGTTTGCCTGAAACTAGTGCGAATGACTATTTTTATGATAAATAACTGTAACCAGACCAAGAAATTATTTTGGGCTGCGAACTTTTTGGCTGTTTATCTGATCCACATTATGTACTAGAGACTTGAAGGAAATTAAAATTATGTTACAGGTTTCGACGTAGGTAGGATAACGAATTTTGCTAACAATATGAAGGTAACTCTCGTTTGACTCACTGTGCATGTCCAACAAATCAGTGATATACACGTGAGTAATGTTTATTATGTATTTGGAAGTTACTGTCGTTTACTTAAAATACATTACTCAGCTTTAGTGCCTGAAGTTTCTTTCTATACAGTACTTTACACCAACTCTAAAACAGTTTTCACGAGTTAAACTTCAACATCTATAAAAGGGTAATGTAGCGAAATCGGATTAGTACCGATCTTAATCATACTTGATAAATCTTCTCTGAACGTTTTCCTGAAGCAAATAAAAGTGTTTTTAAACTAAGAGCAAAGTTAAGATTCTTAGTTTATAGTACACTACGAATCAGATCAGCAGCCAGTAGGTTCATATAATGAAGTCATGTATTGTTCTGGCCACATTTTCCTATCTAACGTGGCTCTTTGCTTGCCGAAATTGCGTGTTTAGGTACTCAGTGACCGAAGATGACCAGTATATGCCCCGGATACATCTAGCAATCCAAACTAGTCGCCTTGTCTGCCAATTCGCCATATCTTTTGTGCACTGTACTGTCTGACGTTTTTACTGCCCACTTACTAGATTGATATGCAATACAACTACGTAGGAGACCCATGGAGTTAAATGCTCTGTAATTAATTGAAATAGTGGGTTAGTGTCGTGAAATGTCACTCTACGTACATAGAAAATTCTGTATGAGTGGGGAACGTGCGGAATGTGATTTTGAAGTGGTACCCATTCTTAATAGTCAAAAAAGTAATCTTAAGGTCAGGTAACATAACTCTATGCCTGATGTTGATTGTTTCTTGATGACACGTTGGGCTCAGTAACTTGGATACACACATTTATTATTGTTTACATTTACTGAAGAAGCGTCGGAAACTAAAGGGTTGCATATTCTGTTGTTTCACACTGAGTACAAAGATATACGTGTTACTACCCATAACTTGTCATAATTTCGTAGTTGTCATTCATAAACAGTGCACGACCTTGGACAATTATCTAGCGCATTAATATGTTTTATCCATAAGCTGCTTCTAACTAATCATTGTCTTTCTTAGTGTTTGATACTGTCGAAATCTTATTAATCAAGCCCATGAGCATTTTGTTTAAAACTGCAGGCTTTTAACCCTAAGATCCGTGAGTTAATAATAGGCAAACTTTCAAGATTAGGTAACAAATACAATTTATTTTTGTTAGGTTCATCTTAGCCAAGCGATCAACCATCATGTAACTATATTACCGGCGATCTCTTGCCTTCTCTGTTTCCATTTCAATATCCTTACTTCGTTTTGACTAGATTTTAGTGTGGCGCATATATATTGGCGCTCTCTTGTACCAATATTCATGTGTTCAAATAAAAATAAAAAATAAAAGTGTGAGATTGCTTGAGACGATGTAACATTGTATATCGTTCTATGTTTCCTCATGTTCAGCGTTTTTAAGCGATCTTTTCTGCTAGATTTCGACAATGTGAGTCGGAAAGTATCTTTGTTCTAACGTGCAGATGAAGTTTAGATTAATATGGAATACTTTAAGAATATTTAACTTTTCTTGGTATGTATTTCTGAGAAACGTTCTTTGTATAATTTTTTTGTTAGTATAGTGACAACTTTTTAAATTTTATAATCAGTGTTGTAATGCTTATTAAACGTTTCATGTTTGCTAGCTCTTGAAGCCTGTTCTTTGCTTTGAACTCGAATGCATCTATATATTGGTTAAATCATGAATTATGAAAATACCCCAAAATATGAAGATCAATGGGCAAACTTTATACAGTCATTAGACGTTGACCCTGATAAAGCCAAGGGTATTGAACAGCTGCCCGATGATCAGAAACGTCAATTATTGGAAAATTATGTAAACGCCTGTGTACTGTTTTATTGAAATCATACTTTAGGCTGTAAAAAATCCAAAGTTTTCCGCTTTTCATTATGTTAGCCTGATTAAAGGCTTGCGTGTCGGGCGGTCAACATTGACAAAGGTTTGATTATTTTCGCTAACAATTTTTTTTAGAATCCACGTAAAGGTGATGCACAGCAAGCAAAAGAAATTCTTTTAGCTACAGAAATATCATTGCGAACAAACAATGTAGCGTAAGTTTCTAGAAGTGGTGGAGTTGTATACATTCACTTTTAGTTGGGTTTATGATTTTCTCGATCAAGACGGTTTGGAAGCATTAGTGAATTATGTATCTAGAGTAATACACATGGTTATGAGGTAAGCCAGAATTTTAATTCATTTTTAAATCTATAACTAAACAGTTTCAAAAGGTTTAGAAAATGTTCTATTTTGTCGTAAGTTACATAATGCATGGGTTTTTACATGTGCTAGTTATGTCCTAGACTAAGAATTTCCATTTACCTACACCACTTCAAACTGAATCATTTTAAATGTGCGCTTTTTTGTTGATGAAATGATATATGTTGTTAACTAATAGTCTACTATTATAAATACATGAGTATGGAGTGATTTTTGTCGTTTGATTTGTTTATGTGAAGTTAGAATGCTAATGTTTTTAATTGTTTGTTGGATTATTGAAATTACTTGATGTGATTTAACTGGCCTAGGCCGTCATATGGGATGATTCGAATGTGGTTCGTTCTCACTGATAACGATGAAATTCAGGACACGTTCAGTCTCACCTAACTAATATGCCTGCTCACATTTCCGTATATATTACAATCTTTACATAAATTCGAATTTAGCACCAACAACTTCAAGTACATATGTTGTTATCCATAAAACGATTAAAGTATCATGATAAATGTAGGTGTTAGCTCTTAATGTCAGTGAGAATACTGGTATTTTATAAAATATAGGTAGATATAACATTATTTCATAATATGACAAGACGCATATTCTATATTTCGTCAATAGTCGCCATACAAAGAGTAGGTTGATAGTTTCTCTTCTTCAGAACATCTTGAGAACGCATGGCTTTTTATCATATAATTAATATACTTTGATTATAAGTTTGATGAACTATAACGTTTCATAGCTTGATTCCTGTTTCTGATTTATTTATAAACAAAAATGGAGTTTTAATCATCCCTTTTGTTTCTACCCTTTCTTTTCGTAAACTGAGTCGACTGATTGTTTGCATGCCATTTTAATGACTCCAATTTAAAAATATGTTTGTTCTAGTTAACTAGCATATATTCACACCTATTTGTGCTAACATCATTTCTATTAATTTAATTTTAGAACTGATTTCCGCCCTACCGTGGATGCCATTCAACAACAACGTTCTGCTCTTCTAGGTTCATTTAGCTCGGATCAAGCAGTTTCTATAACTGATCTGTGCGATAATATTAATGAAAGTGATAAAGTTGGATCTGGTTTATGGTGCTCTAGTTTAAGGAAAAAAAAACATGATCGCATTTCTTTTTCGCCTGTTCATGTCCGACACATATCTGATTCAATCAGGGATAGTCTTCATCAAGGTGTCAGATGCTTTCGTGCATTACTTAATAATCAGGTTTGTTATTATACAACATAATTTTCTTGATGTAGGATTTTAACTAATAGGCTAAAAAAGGTTTTAGGGTTCGAGTTGTTGTTTACTACAGCAGTATTTTCATTGTTTTTTTTCATTATAATTCATTTATACATTCCCTTATTTCATCAACACTCAACATTACTTGACTAAGTTTTACATTTAGTCTCTCAAACCAGTCAGATTTCACTGATAATACACTTAGTTAACTTTGAAGAAAGTGACTTCTTGTAAGACCAATGAAATTATGTTAATGATTTTTGACCAGAGTGTTATTGGAAAGCAGCGTTCATAATTTTTACCCACATAAACAAATGAAACATCCCTATTCATCTTTCTATAATGTTTTTTCAAATATTCATTTACTTTCGTATTTACTCATTTTGATAGCCATCTCTCTTCAGAGATAAGTATTAGTCTTGTCTTTGCGTTAAAATTTAATGTACGCTCCTTTTTTGGAACAATATCAAGAAATTGTAAATCATTGTTAAACTGTGATTCTTAAAGCAGATAATATATTTATACACATTATTTCTCCCCAGATATATTTGTTAGGTAATATACTCTGTTTGCGTTGTCTTCGCTATTTATATTCTTGGTAGTCAACGAATTCTTTCGACGGATTGAACCAGTTTGCATTCTGGGATGTAAAGCGTACATTTCTAGCCATTATAAATATCACCGTAATTACTGCTTACAATAAATTACTCCTACTGTGTAAATGTGTGTTCGTCTTATTTTTCTAGCGTGGTTGTTCAATGGTATTTGAGCATCCTCATGCCGTGAATGTTATTGCTCTGTGTCTCCTGCATCCAAGTTACCAGTAAGTTTCTTTTAATGACTTTAAAAATATTAAATGATCATTCGTTAGGTCAAAATCATTTGCAAATTTAATTTGTTGATTTGCATCAAATGTCTGCTTATTTCATTAGGATAAAAGTTTAGTTTATAACTGCTCTTGTAAGCTTAAGAAAAAGTTTTATTACTCTCACCATTGCAGTTGATCTAAACTACATTACTCAAATCTCACGCTTGACATGAATTCGACGAGAACAATTAAGCTTTTAGTTATATTTCTCAATGTTATACGATAATACCTGTGTTCACTCTGGGTAATAATATCCATTTGTTTATGCGAACACGTCTGACGATTCTTCCAACAACTGAAACTGGTTTATGATATATTTCAACTATTCTGTTACTGATGACATATGTTTGTGCAGATGTCTGTCGCGCATTTCCACACTGATTTAAAAAGAAACATATAATCAGTGCTATCAGAATAGTCCAATGATAATGTCTCTGGCTGTGGTACTTTGGCATGCTGATTCGATCCATATAGAAATGTCAGTTCTCTCAAAATTGTGAATGCTCACCGCCTATGAGTGTTAGCTGACACAGGACGTAAGTTTAGAGATTCTCGATGAACATCTCTGCTCCCTTAACATCAGAAATAGCTGATTGCTATGCTTTGTCCTTCAGGTTAGTAACTACACTGGGACCTGTTCAACTGGATTTCAATCAAAGATAAGTAATAAACAAGATGGTATTGTTTACCACTGAGTGATCAATTAGTGATAATCGCAAAGATTCCTATGTTTTAAATGCCAGATGACATTATTACTGGAACTGTAAGTGAAGGTCCTGACTGTACAATAATTTATGAAAGCAATGGTATTCTTTCTAATTCTATAGATTTCTTACAGTATTTGTATATTTATGTTAAATGACAGTTTTGATGGGGCTTATTTGACATTAGCTTTAAAAAGTTTTTATCGTACCAGTCATCACTTTGCTAATAATTAGGCAACAGAAATTCTCTCTAAAATCGGTTTCACCACTGTTTGTTAGCTCTTGTGCTTTTTGCTGTTTAAATGGCAGAGTATTTTTCTTTTCCTTTTTTTTAAAATCATACCGAGCTGTTGGTCTCAAATCTTCAAACAAAATCGCCGATAATGTATGAGAGTTAACTTATAGTTGGTCTTTACCTATACTTCTTGTATTAACCATAATAATGGTAGGCTTCCATAGACACTGATTTTTATTCATGGGTTTTATTTTATTTTTTTCAATCTAATTGTTATTATCGTTTTGTTTTTCTTTTTATTCTAAGAACAAAAACCTTAGTACTTGAACTTTTAACTGTTGTCTGCTTAATCACTGGTGGACATGAACGCGTATTAAATGCATTTGATAATTTTAAAAAGGAAGTTGGGGAGTCTACACGTTTTGAATATTTAATACATTATTTTTTCACACATGAATCTGAATCTCCAGATTATAATATGGATTTTATGGTAAGCGTAATTACTTTTATCTCAATTTATTAAATTTCTATTGAATATTATGATTTATTGAGATTGATCATTGAACTACAAAATAAAAATGTGCTGAAATAGTGTTTTCAAATAGTTTTGAGGATAGTTTTATATATTTTTAATAAACGAGTTATTTAATTTGGATTAGTGTTTAATAATATTTGTGTGTTATTATTGTTCGGTATCTTTGCATTAGTCTGATATCACGAATTGGAAAGTTCGATTGTAGTCTAAGAACATTGTAAACAATGCATGTACTTATGTAATTTTCTAAAAATTCTAGGGTCAGTTGTCACTTTTAATGACACACAATAACAGAATTGTCAGTTATATTTTTACTTCTTTCTATATTGTGCAGCCTTCGTATATTAACTATCAACGCAAACTGACTACATTTAGTTTCATGGAATTATGGAAGGTTCTTACCGATGGGAATGCCGAATATACTTATTACGTTAATCATAGTTTTTACAAATATCGAGTTTATGCTTAACTTTACGGTAGTGAATTATCGTTTTTGAAATATCATAAAACATTCTTATTAAGAGTAATCTAACGGCTATTGGAAGGTAATGTGATATTCAGTATCATATTTCATGGGTTTCTGAGCAATAATATTTTACTGATATCTTTTGAATCTCTAGTTGTTTGCTTTTTTACTAGTATTTTTGGATCATTTATTTCTATTTAGTTCACTTCAACATATCTTGTTTTCTGTTTTCTACTCATATATAAACTATCAACAGTCCATGAACAGAAAGAAAAGTATAGTCAATTAAACGGCACACAAACGAGATATCGGAAAGCCTAATGTGTTAATACATTTCTTAATAGAAAACAGAAAACAAGATATGTTGAAGTGAACTAAATAGAAATAAATGATCCAAAAATACTAGTAAAAAAGCAAACAACTAGAGATTCAAAAGATATCAGTAAAATATTATTGCTCAGAAACCCATGAAATATGATACTGAATATCACATTACCTTCCAATAGCCGTTAGATTACTCTTAATAAGAATGTTTTATGATATTTCAAAAACGATAATTCACTACCGTAAAGTTAAGCATAAACTCGATATTTGTAAAAACTATGATTAACGTAATAAGTATATTCGGCATTTCCATCGGTATACTATGATCATAGAACTAATTCTTTACTTTGATTTAGTGAAATTTGTTACTGTGACCTAATTCTCATAATTCCTTTTTAGTTCGTGGTAAACCATCAACTGCTCTAGACCTCATTGATTTTTCAGTAGATTACTGACAATGTAACGCTTTTTAAGTTCTAGAAATATCTAATATTTCTTGAAATCTAGTTATATTATGCATTATGCATTGATATTTATTGTTTTATTTATTATATTATAGTATTTGCTCATTTATTCATTCATTATTTAGCACAGTTTTATTCATTGTTACAAATTAATTTATGCTGTAAATATAAACCATGCGATTCGAACTTAGTACTTAAAAGGGCAAGCGCCTACCACAAGATTTAAAAATCCTAGATCTGATTTTCGGTAGAGTCGTAGATACTCACCTCTGAGGAGTCTTATTCTAGTCCTAATTAATTGTCTAATGCTTCATGGTCTTCAATCGTTGTTTAACTATGGTCAGTCCGTGATGTAAACTGTAAAGTATAAATAGTTGGGTTTCACTTCAACAACTCATCATTATGTCGCCTATAATGATGGTAGGTTTTACCCTTTACGTACACGTTATACCATTTGTGACAGATAAAAGTTTCCAACTAAAATGAAATAACTGTTTATTAGTGCTTCCTGTTTCTCAGTTATTTCCTACTTTATGTTAATCCATAACAAAGAATGTCCTCTTAAAACAGTTAGTGTCACCCTTTATAAGGTATAGAAGTGCTTTTATATGAAGTCTTTTAAACTATGAAGTTGTTTCTTTAAGTTCATCAATTATCTTTCTAATTATTACTTCGACTCTCTTGAGAATCGTCGATAACCTCTTGAAGAATGATCTAAAAGCCAAGAAAAGTCTAGATTACTGATAACGCTTTATCTAATTTGTCTTTACAATTACTAAATTGCGTTACTGATTTTTATACATTTTCTCGGTGCTTTTAAGGTCTCAAGGTCGTCCCACGAATACCTTTATTCTTTGTAAATGATCTGACCATCAAAATGAAGCTTCTACATTTTATCATCCTCTGTTTTCTGTTAGAGGTTAAATAGTAGAGGAATTTCGAGGACTAAGAGGCGGCTAAAAAATTAGTGTCTAAAATATTTAGACCATATAACTTATCAACATCTTAATTTCCTGGAAGCTATTTATTTTCACACTTAAATCATGGGAGTAATCAAACAGTAGCTCATGCCTTATTCAATCCAAATTACCAATATCACCCCTAATGAAACAAAACAGTTTTAAATTCGAAATGTGTGTAGGCACGTGTACGTGATTTTGTGTTCTTGTATGTTTCTGAGGTTTATAAATATGACTCAGACCAATTACAGTGAGTACTTTTTAGCATATTGAAATGAAAAAGACTACCTTTTTAAAAAATTGTAATTGCATAAATTTTTATTATGAATTTCCTTTTTTTTGTTATTCTTTTTGGGCGGATAATTTATTACTCACCACATAAAAGTGTTCAATCATTATTGTCTAATTAATATTCTACTTGTCTAATTTTAGACAAATTATTCATTGGTGCAACTCGGATTGCATTCTGAACAATTCGCACTTAATCCATACTAAAATGTGAAGTACACATTTATTACATAAAAGTATTTTAGTAGTAAATCTTTCATGTTATAGTTTACGGAAACATCTCCATTTTTTCTTTTTTTATCTCCCTCGAGTAATTTCTGACCAAAGTAATTATATTACATAGGCTTTCTAATTAATTTTGTTCATGGCAACTGAAGTTAATCTAGCGACTAAATATTTCCTACGTTTCATAAACTCTTTTTTATCACTATTTTCATTGTAATTATAATCGTATGGTGTATTGGTTCATTTTCAGGAGGTCATTAATGAACTTTTCATTTAAGAGTCTCACTAAATAGTAAGGCTATGTCAAAAGGTTCATTCACAATGACCAAAGTATTCCCATACTTTTTTTCTTGGAGTTTTAGAGCCCACGAACATGGTTAGTTTTCAATCAGGATATTCCAACTATCAAAATATATCTTTCGTATTTATTAATTTAACTCATTGACATCCAATTTCTTTTTGTTTATTGTTTGAAAATATGTTATCCATGTAAAGGGGAGGCGAGAATCCTCAGAAAGACATTAAAAACACATGAACATAGCATAGCATTTTTAGGAAGAAGCGGGACCCAGTTGTACTTTGACATTTATCATTAGCTTGTTGTATCATGAATTTTAAATAAACAAAAATCATAGTTATCTATATAAATAACAAGACTGAGTTTCCGATAATTTTCACATTATGATTCATTGTGTTAGTATCTTCACTCTCATATTTAAATTGTTTACATTTAGCTAATTCAATATTTGTAAATATGACTTTAATAATGTTTCACTTGTCTCTAACGTTTCTTATAAATTTCAAACATTTTTTGAATAGTTTAACAGAATTCCATTCATCTAAATTCTTTTTGTCACACGGACAATATTGTAGAGTGGTGGATTTGTGATTAAATCACTTGACATTCGATTAACAAGTTCGAACTCTTTTTTCTTTCTAAATGGAATAGAGCAGCCAGTTAGATTCATTAGTCTTCACATAATCACTTAATAAAAGTTGAGTACGTAAATGTATTTTAAGTAAATTAGTTTCTTTACATATAAAATTATATTTCGAAAATATTGTTTCTTATTTCATCGCAATTATTTTGATTTAATAATTATTTCTTTTATTTTTATTTTTCAGGTATCGTGTATGCAGTTTTTCAATATAGTTGTACATTCAACAGATGATATAATGTTAAGAGTATATTTACAAGAAGAATTTAAACATCTTGGATTAGTTAATTATTTATTGGTACGTGTATATTTTTGTGGGTATTTCAACAAAGTTCTGTGAAAATTATTGTTTTATTTTACGAAGACGATTTTCACTCACAGTTAAGATTGGTTAATGATAATCTCCTTATTCAATGTTATATGTTCAGTACAATATGAAATTCTCCGCCTACAATAACTTCCTCCTACTTTTCGTGTGTGCCACTATACATTATAAGCAATCTTACAATAATTAATGACCTGTATGTTCAAGAGCATAGATGTTTGGTCATGTCAGTCCTTGTAGCGTGATAATCCTGTAATATATCTATCAAATACGATTTTGTGAAGCTTTCGTACTTTTGTTTGCTTGTATAGATTATAATGCACTTGTGTTTCTTTCTACCAGAAGACATAAAATGGGAAAAATGAGAATTGATGGGAAGTTCGAGAATGAATGGATGTTTACAACTAAGTAACCAGAACGATAATATAGCTAATTATTCTCTATCTCTCCCTCTTTCGGGTTTTCAGTGTTTCGTTAACTGATATCAGTCTGTGATAGAAATGTTTTCGGAAATACATTCTGTATGAGTGACATTTTAAAATCAGTATCATTAGCAGAAGTAATGACAGTAACAGTGTTGATATAAAATGTTAGGCATAGTTAACCTGACTGGAGAAAAATGAATCCGTGGAACAAATAATTTTATAATATAATTTTAGAACTCAAGAAGAAATGGAAAACAAAGAATACATGTATCTACCCGAATCTTGATAATTTTATCTCACTGTACTGATATGATGAGCAAACGTGAACTAATGCACACATGCTAGATTTTACGTTGCTTATAACCGACTATTTGCACAAATGTAGTTAATATTTTGTCAGTGATAAACAGAAAACGACACTTACAAAATTGCGATTGTTTTTTCTTCGTTTAATTACACTTGTAAGCACATATTTCATCCATCCATTACAGCATAATTAGCAAAAAGTAGCCAAAATTTCGGTGCTGAAGGCTGATTGTCTAGTGAAGTAGTGGGTGACGTTATTGTCAAAATTAGGAACTTCAGCATTATCGATCTGTAAACATTACATTTTTCTACCCTGGTGTTTTAAGTTTTTTTTACAGACTTTATGCATCTTATAACTCCTGACCATATGAACTTTCCGAAGTTATTTTTATTCCAAGGTCACGACATTAATTTCTGTTATATAACACGAGGTTATTGGATATTTTTGTAATATCCGTTATGCAAATATAAGGTCATGTGTACAGTGAATAGGTCGGGATATTAATATTTTTTGGATATTAGGTTATATTTATTAGCTATGGATATTATAATATTAATTGGAATATTCATAAAATTAATAGTGAATCTGTCATTAATTGTGAAAACAGAAAATTCGTACCCATGTGTAATTTGTATCTTACGATATGTTGCTTATCATTAGGATATAAATTTGTTTATCTTACAAATAATTATTGCTTTCATAAAGAAATAATAATTTTAGCTACCTTTTGACCTTCTACCAGCCCATTAGTAACTGTTACCTTCATGATGGGTTTTAACGCCAAAATTATAAATCTCGTAACCTTTAAGGCTATACATTGTGATTAAATTCGCTGAACTTTGATAGATAACTCACATGACATGTTAACATTAGTCTCTCTACTGAGTGTTAAGTAAGTTGGTTTAAACAACTGAGAAGTTCAGTCACGACCTGCATAACTCAGTGATGTGTAGTCTATAACTGTCACACTGCATGATACTAGCTAAAATCTCAAGATAAATCATGGGGTTATTGATTTCTGATATTTTCTTTCAACTATTTAAAATGCTCTCGTTAGTGTTTTTCTACAATTAACTCGTTTATCATGTGATAAATTTACATTTTATCCATCTTTTTGTTACAGAGAATATACAATCAATCCGGTGATCGTCTTCTACGTCAAATAGAAGCATATAATGATAATGAAGTGGATGTTGCAGTGTTATTAGAAGATTCACAAATGCGTGATGTGTTACAACAAGAGAAAGAACAAGCAGAATCAGATCTGATCATTTTACAAACTCGTACAGCAACAATCCAAGCAGAATATGAAAATAAATTATTAGAGCTTCAACAAAAAATACAAGCTTTGGAAATAAAAAATCAAGATTTAGAGGTAAACATTGTTTCTAAATATTGAGAATATTGAAATAAGTTATTAGTTTTCGTGTTTAAAAGTTACTTAACCTTCATAAACACTGACAAATAAGTCATAATATACGATGCCAAATATATTGTTTCATAAATGTTATTCAGTACTTATCGTATATCCTACCATACTGATAGTAACAAATGATCTTTGGACGTTCTGAAAATGTAACAATTATCGGAAAAGTTTATTGACAATCTTATAAAGTTGTCAGCTTACACATTTTATATCAATAATGTATAATATATATGAAATTGTATTATGAAACAGTAAAAGTGTATTTTAGAATATTCCATGAATTGAGATCAGTAATAATTAAGTACTTGATATTCTCTTTATCTATGTTCTATCGTTTACTAGTAACGAAGTTGTAAAATCCGTCTGTGCATACTTCTTTGTAACTATGTTTAGTGAAAATTTTATTTCGTAATTTAAATATTGTCAAATGTTTCTCAATTGTTTTTTGATTAAATTCAAATATCTACATACCTTAGTAACATTTTACTTATTACAGACAAATTTATTCAGTTTATTGTTTAATTATTATTCTGTTCATTTATATTTTATCTTGTTCCAAATAAATAAATTAACCAACTAACTAATACACATAAACGTCTAGAAATAGTATATCAGGGGTTTTTTTCATCATGAATTTCAGGGTTTTTTTTAATCCATTTCACCGATTTTTGTATGTACAAAACATCAACTAGTTTCTTGCATTTTTGAAAAATATTCATTGTAGTTTTTCAAATGTACAGTAGCGCATATATGTACTGTGCATAGATGCAACTTAATTCAATATATTCTCGCTATATATATATATATATATATATATATATATATATATATATATATATATATATATATATATATATATATATTAGTGATTAGTTAGTAGTGTTTATTTCCATATCACTCCCAACTGGATAATGGATTTATTGACTTTAACCTCTTTTTGATCGACTGTCTAATCTAAATTTGTGTCTCTGCTTTTCCTCTCTTCCTTCTTTGCGTTTTATTCTGTTTTCCATTTCATTTATTTGGTTTTTATTTCAAATTGTTGTTTGTTTAATTATAAAAGTCTTATACTGTATGACATGGTGTAATTGTTTCTATTCCATAATGCTGTATAACATTGATTATAACAACAAATGTAATAATTAGTCAATGAAATTGTTATTGGTGCATATATGTCAATTAGAACGTTAAACACTACTGTTAGAGAAGGAATTGATTGGATGATATATGATTATGATTGTTCAAAACACATATGGATTTGTTTATCTGAAAATACTTGTTGTGAGGCTGTATGTTATGAATCACCAATTATTCTTTGTTTTTGTCTTTTCTTTCCTCTTACTTTCCCTTCATCTTTTCCTTCAGTTTTTGTACTTCATGTGGACAAGTTACTGTCTAGTTTTTTAAAAAAAATTTAAGCTTTAAAAATAATGGGAAATGGACTAAGTATAACCTGGTTATTCGATTATAAGTCTTAGTAGCTTAGTCGTCTGTCTGTTCTACTGTCTTAAGATTATATTAACTACTGTTGTATAACTGTTAACCTCTTCAGTTCTTGTAATTTCTATCTACTATGAAGTAATCATATTCCTTAATCTTGACTGTTATTCTGAACCGGTGTTTCTGAGCTCAGAAATTCAACAATCCATCGAGCAACATCGTATTTGTTATATGGAATGATAGGATTATCTCAAAGTCTTTGCATATTCAGTTTATATTACCCTTAAACATACGTTCACGCATTACAGTGTATTAATTTCATAAAAGTTTAGACTAGTTTGTCGTCCTAAGTTTTTGCTTTTGTTTAATTTAACCAATTCCTACTTCTCACAGATTGAAATCATGAGTCCGTTGAAGCTAGATCACCATTGAAAACCTGGAAGCACTGGACGGCCGTTTCGTCCTAGTACGGGACTCCTCAACAGTGCGCATCCACGATCCCGCACCCCACGGGATTCGAACCCAGGACCTACTGGCTTCGTGCGCGAGCACTTAACCACTAGACCACTGAGCCGGCATCCAACGGTGTTAATATCTAACTTCAACCAATCCACGAAGTTGCGCCACTATATACCATTGTCTTGGATGCCGTCTCAGTGATCTAATAGTTAAGTGCTCGCGCGCGAAGCCAGTAGGTCCTGGGTTCGAATCTCGCGGGGTGCGGGATCGTGGATGCGCACTGCTGAGGAGTCCCATACTAGGACGAAACGGCCGTCCAGTGCTTCCAGGTTTTCAATGGTGATCTAGCTTCAACGGACTCATGATTTCAATCTGTGAAAATTTCTAAAATCTCCACAAACCCCTTCTGATAATTCCTAGTTCATTGATTTCTCGCTTTTGTAATCAATATATATTTTTACAGTTACTATTATTACCTATACATTATCACTGTAGAATCAGCGCACTAATCAAGATGGTCAACTGTCTACACTACGTGCTCAACTATTGGATAAAGATAAAAGCACAACAGAACGTGAGCGTAATTTGCAACAACGACTACGTGAACTAGAAGATACTTTGAATACAGTTAAAAATTCACAGTCGAAATCACAAATACAAGTGAATGGGATAGTTGGTAACTCTACCGAATCGATAAACACAACAAGTGGTGTTATTACTGCTGGTGCTAATGCTTCACCACCGCCACCTCCTCCTCCCCCTCCGCCACCACCCCCTCCTCCCCCGCCACCCCCACCACCATCTGCAGGTGGTATACCACCACCACCTCCTCCCCAACCGGGAATGGGTGCAATGGTGCCTGGTGCAGAAGGCTAGTTTTGTTTTGTTTATCGTTATATCATTTTAATTTTTTTAAAATATTGATGTTTCATTGTTCCTTTTACTACACTATTTTTCCCATTAATAAATTTGCATAATTGGTGTGGATGAATTTGTAAAGATTGTAGTATTTTCAAAGTATAAATCGAAAACCGATATTGGTTAGACCACTAAATACCTTGAGGTACTGGACAGCCGTTTCGTCTTAATATGCGACTCCTCACCAATCTGCAACAACGACCACACACACGGTAATAGAACTCAGGCTCTTCGGTTTCGTGTTCAAATACCTGACCTCCAGACCACTAAACCGGCAACCAACGGTATAACTGTCTGACTTCAACCTATTCACGATATTGTGCAACTTTCATCCATTGTCAGTGATGGATAACTGTCTGACACCCGACAAGGATTGAATCACGCTGGTCACACTAGAACTGCAGGAGTTACATCTTGAAGCTATTCGCTAGCGGACACAGTAGTCTAGACGTTAGGTGGAGGGTCCTGAGTTCGATTTCCGCTTACAGTGTCGTGGATGCGCACTGCCAAGTACTCTGATACTAGGACGAAACGGCTGTCTAATTCTTCCATGTATTGATTGATGGTCCAGCTAAAACCAGATCGTGATTCAAATTTGTATCAAGCAAAAGCACTGAACTTGGCTTAATAATATGAATTCACTTTTGCGGTGTCACTTCATCTATTTACGTCTATTAGTCAGCTATAACGTAGGACCAAGCACATATATGCAAGTTTACAACGTAAAAATAATAGTACTCATTTTTTTGTAAAACAAAACTGTGTACATACTTTTTACCATAATATCAGAAATGTATTCTTAATTATTTATTTAAACGCAAACATTGGTTCAAGGAGGCATCAAATATATATGTGCCACACTTCGTCATTCGATTTGTATGACGGCTGGAATATTACCTGCGCTCCAAAACCGGAGCAGGGTGTTTTCTTTGGGGACCACATCACGAGCTTTTGACCTAAAGGTCTAACCTACAAAGGTTATAGTGCAACTTTGGGAGATGCAGTCCCATGGTAGCCAGTGACCAACAATCTGTTCATGCGTCATTTGTTCCCCCAGCATTCTGGAACCCATGTGCACCATTGGTTTTGAATCAGGATTTTCCAACTCTCCTATGTGGATCCTCCAAAACCCACCAGAAAGTATTGTTATCAGTAAACGTTGTTATATTTAGAAAAATTATAAAATATGCTTTTATGGTCAGATATCTATATGTTGGAAAGTGTGAATATTCGTGAAAAAAACTCAAGGATACATGTTGCTAAAAGCCTAATGATAAAAGGTACATAACGTCAACTAAATAAAAGGGTTTTTATAGGACTGAAATAGTTGGAGCTCAGACAGAATCTACGAAAGAACAAAGAAATCAAATTTGTAATTATCATCACAAAATAAGGTTTCACGGAACGAATTTTCAGAAACTGAAGTCGTCAGAACAGTGCAAGAATGATAGCATCATCCTTTTGAATGCATAAATTCAGTTTGAACCTTTTAGTAACAATGGCCTCGGCAAAATTTAATTTTTCTCAAGTTGTTTATACGATCTTAAAATGCCAACGATTATACACTATCAAATAAATGACGAGTGATTGCGCTGCTTATTTGTCGGTATAAGTGGATGATAAAGCATAAAAGTAGGAGTGATCAATCTGTAATCGAGTTACAGTTATTTTTCATTTTAATAACTAATGAGTTATATCCTGTTTAAAATATATGGCACATGTGTTTCTTTTAGTCTTTCATCATTTTCTATTTCTTCATTTATTCTTTCATATTGAATATAGGTGTTTCCATACGACCGCCCATACAAACTCGATACAAATTGCCATTAGTTAATTGGGTCCTGTTGAAAAATCAACAACTTCGTGGTACAATATTTGTTGGCATGAATGATGAAGCTGTTTTGGATGCATTGGATACTGAAAGATTTGAAAATCTTTTCAAATTGTCTAATCAATCAGTGAATAATAGTAATAAATCGGGTGTAAATAATCAGGTAAATGGATTAGATCAGAAAGACAGTCGAATAAGTAAAAAAGTTGAGAAAAAATCTTTAATGGATTCAAATAGACATCGGTACGTATTTTTTGTGGTTCCCCTGTTTTCATTGTTCATTAACTAGCCTTATTATTATTATTATTATTATTATTATTATTATTATTATTATTATTATTATTATTATTATTAAATCTATATAGCTGTCAATTATGTCATATGCGTCACACTTATCCACTAATGACATTGGAAGATGGTTCCGTTTTGTCGCGGATTGATGGGAGTCAAACCTGTAACACATTGGTTACCAGCTCAATAGTTTAAAGGTTAAGTGCTTTCTTCAGGACCTGTGGATCCTAGGTTCGATCCCTGGTGTTGTCATGAATACGGATTGCTAAGAAGCCCCATGTTAGGACGAAACAGTTGTTCAACACTTTCTGGTTTTCAATGTCTGTCTGACTAAGAACCAGTCCGCTATGTAAACTATGTAATGATTACTCTGTTAACTATGTTTTGGAACACAATGGAAACATTTTTTATAATCATAGGCTTCTGTCAATATAAATTAATGTCATTCAGCCCTCATACTAATGTTGTTAGGGACTCGTCTTTTTCTTTACTACATTATTGAAAATTATTAGGTGAACAATAAATGTTCTGCTCATTTTGGTAACTTTAGATTGTTTCCAAGAGATATAAAAGTGGTTGTTTCACCTGTGAAAATGTTCGAATTTTTTTACGTATAGTGGAACTAAAAATTAAATGTACAATCCCGTGTAGCTTTGTTTATGCGTTTGTTGGGGAAATATCATGCCGGTTATAACCATTTTGTTGAATGCACATCAATTTACAAGTCTGTCACCATTCTCGTTCGTTTCTTCCAGCTAGTCCATACTGTCCCATGATATCTTCATACTTGGTGTTATCTATTCCGACATTGGCGTTTAAGTGTCCTATCAGGATGGTCAGATCTTTTCCTGAGCACTTTACTATAATTGATTGCAGTCTCTCATAGAACTAATATTTATTTTCGTTGTTGCTATCATTGTTCCGAGCATCGTCAAGTCGTATCTCCTCATTCCTGTAGCTATTTCACTGGTCCTCTCAGTCTCCCACATTGTCCGAGCATTCCATATACCTATATTGATGGTTGCTCTGGTTGTTAGAAGGGGCATCGGCCTCGTGATTTCCGAAGAATCTCGGCTTTCACTATAGGGCTTTATAGTTCTTCCGAAAGTAGATCTTCCTAGTCCCAGAAGAGAGTTTAAATAGTTTAAATTGTTTATTCTGGTTAGTATTTTTTAACAAGGTTGTTTTCTACGGGACGAGGTTTGTAACCACATGCCCAACTCCCGTCTTTTACCCAATTTCGAGGCCGACAATAACCCTAGAAAAGCTACAGGTGGATTCATATATATATTATTAAATGGTTATTCAGTTCACTTTGATTTCCCATGGCTTATCGGTCTAGATTATTTTGTAATAATCTAAAAACTTGAATGTATAAATTTGCATTCATTCATAGTCTTTTTATTTCTTAAAATCTACACCAAGTAGGAGGGCAACTAATTGGTAAACATGTGAGAGCATTTCATGAAAACATTATTGTAACCAAACCGTGTAGGATAGATGCAGACTACCTTGTTGGTGTCCGCATGATCGGTGTAGCCGATGGTTGCAGGCCGTGAATGGCATGGCTCAGAATCGGTCTCATTAAGGCAGATACATACACGTTTTATCTTCCGTTACATCTTGAGTTCTAAAATTATAAAATTATTCGTCTCACGACTTGATTACTTCTCGGGTTATATTAATTCATATCTAAAATTTTATGTTATTACTTCTACTGTCGTTATTTTTACTGATCCAACATTTGTCTTGATAGTTTCATCTCGCTGTACTGATTTGGTCTGTCGAGTCAAATCAATGCACTTATGCTCCAGGTTTTGCTTTGTTTGATACTGACTGACTAACTGTTACAAATTTATAAGATATTTACGATATAAACCTTACTACGAAAACCAGATCTCCAAATTTATGGAAGAAAAACGTGTTAAAAGTTTCCAATTTAGATTTTATTAATTTATTCCCATTTGATATTAACACATACTACTTTATGTACGTAAATAATCGGTCTAAGTATATACAATATATATAATTAGTAAATATTTGCCTATTTGCTAAAAGGACATTATTCTGGTATAATATTTTAGATAAATAGTACTCCATCGATCTATTATTATTATTATTATTATTATTATTATTATTATTATTTACTCGTATATTTGTACATCGTGATACTAAAATTTAAGTGTCAAATGAATTAATATTACAAACAGGATATATACATAATAAATTATTAATAATAGTTGTACCATCCATTATTTGACCGTAATAAATATTTTCTATGGTTTAGTGAAATTGTATCAAATAAAGTTACAACTGGTTAATCAAGTCAAAAAAACTTTTGAAAAAAATGTTCCTATTATCTATGTTTATTGAATACCATTGTGCATTACTAGCTTAATGTATCGTAAATAAAATGTATTTCATATCGGTTTTACAATTTGTAAACTAATATATCATAAGTTATCTAATTATTGGATAACTGGTTCTGGAACTATGTGATTTTAACAGTTTCGTACTCAACGTTTCCTACATTAGATTAAAATGTGAATCTGTTATTACTGATGTTTAATCTTAGAATATGATTGAGGATTTGACTGTCAAGATCTTTCAAAATGAAATAGTTGTTCTAAGTTTTCAAATGCTTCTCTGATGATTTCGTTCGTTCCCGTAACTGGTCTGAACATTGAATCTCTCGTAATATTTCTTGTACAGGTTGACATTGTCGAAATAATGCTGATTGATGCCGAAATTTTCTCAAAACTACACAAATTTCTATCAATCATTTAGTTGATTAGTATTCGATCACCATTTATTGATTCATTTTCCAATGAGTATCTCTCAACCCCAGTGGGAGAACTTATCCGTAAAGTTAACTAAATCGATAGCGAAATAGTTGCCTATTGAAGAAAATAAGTAGTGGTTGTGCTGTTTTAATAATACGTTAAAGTTTTTAAAAAAAGAATTATGTAATTCTGACTTGGCAGTTGGCTGTTATTATGTTTGTACATATATTACCAATATAAAGTTTTATACGAAAACTCGTTCTCTTTATTCTCTAAAACTAAACGATTTTATCGATGACTGGAAATATTTGGCACTTGGGGCTATCTTCTTCATCAACAATAAACATGTTACTTGTTGATAGTGTGTCATTTGTTACTAAATGTTTATATGGAAACAATTGAAAACCAGACAAATTTAGCTGGATTCATGAATCTGTTGCCATTGACAACTACTTCCATCGTGCTCTCGTCGTAATTGTAAATTCACGTATTCGAGGTTTATATACAGTATACAACCGACAGTCTCAGTGACTTAGGATCGCATATATTGGTATGCATTATACTCTGTTTCATAATGTACACTGAAACTCCTATAATTATTTGTGGTATATTTCCATTTATCATTGAAATGTTAGGTAATTAATATCGATTTCTTATTTTGTACTAAAACTTTTGTAATTCAAACTGGTGTTTGAAAAGTTCAGCTGTCTAATCATTCTCGTAACTAAGGTTTTTTATAATAAGCCATGGAGATAATGTTTACTATCTAAGGTTTAGTATAACGTGAATTTCTCTTTATCAATAATCAATAGCTTTTTGATATGAAAGTTCCTATATTTCTATGTAATATAAAGTTATTACACCAAGCGTTTATTTTCTTCTCTTGTTGGCTCAGTCGTAGTAAATATGAAAGCTGATACTAGTTTATGTCACTATTTGCATCATTGCATCTTAATTGTCTATTCGACGTTAACATATGTCATAAACTAATGATTATGAAAAAAATATCTTCTGAATTTTGTCTCAATAATATAAATAGTCAACTCAGTGCTTTTTCGTTCGGATGTTGAACATTGATATGTTAGTAAACTATGCTTTATGTTTACACACAATCATCAGTAAAAATCGTGTCATATATTGATCGGTAGTGTTTTGTTTTTTCTTAAAATACACCAACACTTAGACTTAATGAAATCTCTTTCATACATTTTTTTCTGATTAAGAAATATGTGATATTGCCGTACAGTGGTACATTTTGTGTAGCACATTTCACAATATTCAGGTGTGTGAAACGATATGTATGTTAGATCACTAAGTTGAATCGACTACCAAGTTAATCAGTTTTTTAAGCAATTCTCACTTCAATTATGCTAATAACACTACTCATGTTTATGTCCACTTTTTTGTTCCATTTCAGTTGTATTGGCGTTTTATTACGTTATTTGGAATCTGAAAAATATACACCAGAACGTTTATGGAATGATATTAATCGTTTAGAACTAGGTCAAGATGTAACAGATCGTATATATCATCAATTGCCAACAGCTGATGAAGTGAAAACGTATTTAAATTATGAATTCACTGAACAACGATCTATTGATGATTTAACGGATGAAGATCGTCTTTTACTACATTTATGCAAAGTTGAACGTTTAGGACCTAGATTAGAAATTATTTTATTCATGAATTCATTTGAAGATAATTTGAATATAGTGAATTCGGTAAGCAATTTATGTCCTTAGATACGATATTGTAATGTCTAGTACTATATCAAGCCACAAAAATATATTTATTATCTAAAACAATAATTTTAAAAGTAATGAATTCAACTTGGTCACGGTTTCATCACTGTGTTTATATGAATTGGAGAGTTTATTGATATAACAAGAATTTGTCTTAATCCATTTTTTACTATTTGACCGCCGATATATATATATATATATATCATCCAGAGAAATGTGTCTTGACCTTGATAATACTGATTTAATTGTCGTTGCATAAAGTGATGACATAAAGTCTAATCAAATTATATTTATTCTAATCACGAACATGTATATTGTATCCTACTGAAGTTGAAATTATTTCTACGCAACTGATCAGACCATGTATTTACGCCCACTTCTAGTTGTGCACAGTGAAGAAACAATCATTAGGTTTACATAAAACTAGATTGCTATATGGCTGCTAATAGTCATATGGCTTGTGAGATTTATTTTCATGGTCAGTATGGATCATGTTATAAAGGTAATAATTTTAAATATTGTGACCTTGATTTCAAATAATTAAAGGGTAGGATTTAGTTGTGTAAGAGTGTTAGTCTTAATAATGAAATGTATGATTATAAATTATTTGTCAAGTCACACTCCTTAAACTAACCCTTACATTGTAGACAATTTTTTATTACGTTATTGTATTCTGTTCACTTTGTCACATACATCAGTATATGTTTAGTAAAAACGTGTACTTGTTTTGTGTATTTATTTATGATCATTGATTACGATTGCATAATCATTTTCAACTAAACCGTATACTATCTGTTCACGGATCAAATTGATTTTCAGTAATTTATGTTTATTCGTTTGTCATAATTTATTTGGTGTCTAACTTTTCTCATGGAGCTAATGTGATTCAATAAAAATCCCCTTAAACTCTATTGCTAATTTCGTAATATTATGTGATAGTTGTTTAGATGTACTTCATTTTATGTACTTAAATGCTTGGCTCGAAAAATATCAACCAATTTGTCGGAGATAGCTCATTTGGTATACATAGCTGTAAGTTACAATTATTTTCAGCGAATATAAACCAACTGTAATGTCAAGAAACTCAACGGTTATTTTATGATGCAAATGGTAGTCTTCAAATATTTAGTGGAATGTTACAACATTCCAACTACTGAAAATTTCTGATGTGAATGAAATCGCTCACTTTCCGCGATCTGTGTGATTCAGTGTTTAAAAATCTCTATGGCTACTGGTAAATGTAACAGGTTGATTCAGCGTCTGTTGTTTCGGAATTGTAATTTATAATTTATATGTTCACTATCAGGTCCTAGTCTGGATCTAAAATTCTTGCTGATACATGCTGTATGTATCTAGTTTAATCATTAAGGCTCCAATTCTTCCTTATTTTCGCCATATGAGACTAATTTTTGATACTTTTGCTGAACGAAACTTAAAAGGTTTTGTTTAGTTGTAAGAAGAAGAACTGGAGCCTGTCCATTTGTTATATACCATTGTGTATAGAAGGTTAGTTTTTATCTAGACTCTAAAAATAATACTCTACCCATGGATGTAATTCCCTTTTCTTAAAAAATAAGTATAAATAAATGACCGCTTATATTACAAACGGAAACATATAATTATTATTGTTTCTTTGTTTGTAAACCTATTTCGAAAGTATCTTAACTAAGAATCCTTCAAATTATCTCACGTTTTTGTGTAATGTATTTTATCCACAAGAGACAATGAAGTTAAACTAAAATTTTCAGTACCTATTTTCAAAAAATGATTTCTCAACTTTGGTCGCTCCCGTCTTTATTTCATGAATATCATTTTATATCTTGTCGACAAATTTTACCTATAGTCTTGTACTTTTTTGCTCTAAAAAATGTTCACATTGCCTGACTTTATTCCCTTTTAAAAGATTATCATTAAAATATGACTCACCGTATTGGATTTCAATAATCATCTACATAATAAATATAGATGAACAGATTTTAGTTTTGTGTGAAAAATTGAGTCGATTTCATGAGTATACGACCGAATAGTAAAAAGAGTTCGACACATCATAATTTTTTTGTTATCTACCTTTTCTACTCTACTTATATCATACTTACCCTCTCTCATACATATATATATATATATATACGCTGAATTATTTGTTCTGTTTCATTTTCATTATTTTATCAGAAAATTATTGCTGTAAGATCCGCTTCGTTAGCATTGAAAAACAGTTGTAAATTTAGAGCTATCTTAGAAATTATATTAGCTTTTGGCAATTATATGAATAGTTCCAGACGTGGTATTGCCTACGGTTTTCGTTTACAGAGTTTAGATGCTGTAAGTTTCCCTTTCTTTTTTTCCACCTATTTTGTTTAATTATGTTGCTTTTTTGTCTCAATTATTTGGGAAATTGTCGACTGTTGTTTGTCTAAGCTATATTGGAGTTTGGGCAATAGCTAAGATCAGTGGTTGGTGATGTTGGTTGATATGATTTATAATCGTTTATAATGGCACAGATACATTCATCCTTTCTATTCTCGCCACATCAATGTTTAAATTTTGTCATAATCATTGCTACCATATGATTCAATTTCTTTGTTAACTTCATTTATTAAAACATGGTGTGACATCTTGACCCACTTTTTATTTGTCTTACAATGTGCGTTGATCATAAATAGCTAATTTATTTTACCTAGACCTGTTCAACGTTGGTCGTTTTTCACATAGTGGGATAACTTTGTCTTTCATTTTCTTGGTTATCAGTTCCTATTTGTTTCTTTGAAATGACATGATTCTAGTGAATTCCTTTTTTGTATTACTCGTTACACATCAACATTTAAAGAAAATTTATTGGTCATCAGTTATCAATTCGTAGACCGAACTATAAAGGTTTACTCTAGATTTATGTAAACTAAGTTGGGAATCATTACTCTTAAGCTTCTCGTTTAATTAAACACAGAATACGCTAAACATAGTCAATGGTCATCTTTCTACCTACACCATAACTATTGAATACTGACTACTTTCGTAAATCGTTTATATGAATCATCTTGTTTTTTGTATTAACTTAAGCTGCTTATTAATTTGGCAAGTTGTAAATTCTCTGTTTTCATTTTGTAACAATACGAACTATAAATATGGTTATTGTTTCTGTATTATTGATATAAACGTTAGCTTTGAAAGGAATAAAGTAAATGCCTATTAGGGATTTTCTTGATCGGTTCATCAATAATTAAGAATGGTAGGTGTTGTATATCTGTTTAGCCATCGAATGCACTTTCTTGTTCGAAGAAGATTAAACGAGTAATTGAAATTGTGAAACTTTTAAAGCTATTCTCTTAGTAACCTATATATGTATAAATATAAAGATTTTTACTAAGTATTTTTATAAAATAATTGGTGGATGGTATTTTTACATTCTCGTAGTTGTAAGCCTTCAATCGACTGATTAAATGTTGTTACATCTTTTATCGTTCATAAACTACGGTTGTCAAGTTATTAACATGTGACTCGGATTTGTACCACAAATGTCTTAGTAGTGTACATATTAAATATACTGCATCATTGTCTTGCATTATATATATATATATATATATATATATATATATATATATATAATCAGGCTTAGGAGATTCAGTAATATTTTATGATCAATATAGCTCACTCTAGAAGCACATATATGTGATACCTCTCAAGATAAAACAGACTCACTAAACGTCGCAGATAACGCTAGAAAACTGATAATCCTTCATCAATGAGAAGATCAAGAGCTCTCAATATTAAGATCACACCAACTATCTAATGGAATTATAATAATCACATCATAGTCATTTTACAAAAGTTTCCTTCATGATTTCCTGTATTTTTCACTTCACTCTTATAAATACCCACATTTTTGAAGCTATTCGTTGAAAAGTTCACTTCTATTGGTTATTGTACTCCTTTTTAGTTAAATCGATATTCATCATGTTTATTTTACTAAGTATCAAATTTACACTTTACTTTCGTCTTGCTTTTTTACATATGCACTTTGAATTGTTTTCGTTTTTGATTGTAAACACTGCAAAAGAATATGAGCTCATTACATTTCGGTCAATTTTCTTCGAACTAAACAGTTATAGCTTGACAGTAAATCGTTTTGATTAGTGCTTTATACAATAAGTTTGTATAACTATGCCCTTATATGCAATCTTTCTTTTATATATTACCACCATTTTATTAACTACTTCTATGAATTCGGTGTTCATCTTGTTGTGCTAATGAAGTATGGCAACTTGGACCAATGCTCATATGTGCCTGGTCCTACGCTGTAGCTGACTGACTGACGACACTCTCCGTGTATGACTAGAGAAGGATACTATACGGTTTGTGGTGTAGAGTTTTTTAATATTTAGCTAATATCAAATCTCAGTGAAAATGTATTCGACGATTTGCAACGTCAAACCTAACGTATATGTGTATAGGTATGTAATGTTCATTTTCTTTAGTTTCCAACTTATCTTTTTTCAGTTATCCGACACACGGACTTTGGATAAATCGTGGACTCTGCTTCACTTCATAGTTGAAACAATTGAAACCCAATTTCCTGCCCTAGTTAATTTTGACGATGAATTGACTGGTGTTGTAGAAGCTGCAAAGGGTTAGTTGTATTTTATATAGCACAGTAAACTAGAGATTCTTTCATTTTAACTAAAATCATCACATTGTGGTCTGTCAATCTTTACCTGTACATCATATTCATAATAAATTCCAAATCCATCATTTGTTACTAACGTCACCATGACTGTTTTCTATTTACAAGACTGAAAATTAATAATTTGATGAAATCACTTAAAGGAAGGTTGATTTAAGTGACACTGAATATTTACAGTCTTATCAATATTGACATCATTATTTCCCGCTGTTTAAATTCTTCTTTATAGTCGCTCTGTATTATTTATTTTAGACTCTGTTCTCATTTTTTTTACATATGCTTCATCACACTCACTACATTTCCCAATTTTAACGTCGTTCTTGTTAGAAGCGGATAGTTTAGACAAGTAATCAACTAGCAAAAAGACCTAGGTCCATAGTTTCCTTTCGATTACCTCCAACCATCTACCATTTCAACATAGTTCACCCCTAGTCGGATCACAGATACTACTGGCTAAATTGCAACTTGATCAATATAAGTTAAACAAAATAACATGGGTCACTGTTCAGTCATCAGTCAACATAAACAGTTTGAGAGAGTTAGTTAACTTGTACAACGTTTACGAAAGCTTTTTAAATGCTGTATACTTATTTTTTATAATTCTTTATATCAGCATCTTCTTTGTCAAATTAACTGAGCTTGGAAACAGTTGCTTAAATCTAGTTTCACCTTAACTTATATAATTCCATAGAATTTATAAGTATTTTTACCATGGTTAAACATCATTTGAGAATTGGATAGAATGTTAATCATGAAATAATGGTATATTTGTTATATTCCTAACTTTCCAAAGTACTCTGAAAAAGTGCCTTACACTAAATCACCAAATGTCAAACCTTTTAATTCCCACTTTTTAGCATATTACAAATATACCATTATTTTATTATTAATAGTAAAGTTTAGTCACCCTGTGGGTATTTATAACATTTTTTTGTTCGTTTTATTTTTTCGTTGTTGTATTTTATAGCTATTGTGTTTTTAGACTCTTGAAAGATTTCCATTACATCATATTATTACTTCTATTTAAAATACTATAATTTACCACCTACTATGCACTACTCTATATCTCATATGTGATATTTGATAAGTGCTTTTCATACTGTAATCAAATCGACAAAATTATAGTACTATGATCATTCAACTACGGATTCATTGAGTTATGCGCAGTCTGCATCCTAATACCATATTTTTACTTTTATACTTATTAATATCAGTTAATAATGTCACTGAGAGCCACTTATTTTGCGTGTATATAAGGCTGCTGAATTGCGTATTTACTGAATCATGGGGTCGTTCTGCCAAGATTATATGTTATCGCATTTATATAAAGATTTGATCGATAACTTTGTACATTATAAACCTTGTTTTCAATTAATTTATTTGCGATGAGTGTTTTTCATTTCAATTCTTGCTTAACACTTTATCTCAAAGTATAATTTATTGAATTTATTCACTACTTCTGTGTCAGCTATATTCTATAGGTACTTAATTTATTTGAAATATACTCCTTTGGTTAGTCTTCCAGTTTAATGTAGACAAGTATGTGTTCAGCTCTTACTGTCAACATTCAATAGCTTATCTTAAATCTTTCCTAAACACATAGTTTTTATTTTCAACCTAAAATTTGCATTTTCACTTAATTGAAGAAAGTATTATATCTTGTTATTATTCTTAGAATTAGCATTGACTATTTTGATCTATACTTCGACTTTAGTTCCCACTTGCCATGTATATATAATATATAAAGATGTACACATGAAACACTTAATGTATTCGAACAGATGTTCATTAAATGTGTCATATATTATATATGCATAATAAAACATATTTTTTCCATTACCATCGATAATCAGATTGCTTTTAGCATTAATGATCTAGAAGTATATTTTTGTATTAATTACTTAGTTTAATGAGTTTTCTGTGTGGTGTTCATTTGTTATTGTGATGCAATGAACCAAAGACAAAAAAATTACTTTCTTCAAATTGTAAAATGGTCAATGTTAAATAATCAAAACTATGTGTTATAAAATTATTGTAAGCCTCGTAACATCATTTTATGATATTTAGTTAAAACTTCCTTCTATCCAAATTGCTTTGAATTCAAAGCTTTCATTTTCTATTTCCCTTCAGCTTGTATTGTAAAACAATCGAAACTGTTTGTAGTCAAATATTTACACAAATTACCTTAAACACTTCCAAGGTATTATCATGTGTCAAAGCATAATTGTCGTACACAAATAGTATAAAGTACTATCAATCAGTTTTTATTAAAGTAAGATTGTGGCTAGCAACGGAATCCAAGATGGTAATTTCATCCTATTCAGAACAAGCCAGTTGGATATACATAGTTCTTAGTGTTATTATTCACATGAGAACTTGATTCCTGTACTCGTCATTTCAAATACTATTATATAACCCATAGCTAGTTACTTACTTGTTCAATCAGTATGATATTCATATCTCTCTGTTAGTTATTTAAATATTTGAATATTTCTAGCAGTTTTATATCCATATCAAGGAAGATAATCCCATCTGTGTTAATTCCCCCCATTCTTTTTTCCCATTTGAATTTAATTCTTGTTTAAAATTCTATTTCATTTACAGTTCCAACGGAAGCTTTAACAAATGATGTAGCAGCATTAGTTTCTGGTATGTCACAAGCTGATAAAGAGACAATTATTTTTGGTTCATTGAAAACACCACAACGCTTATCAGATTTTGTATTGAATAATAAATCTAAAGTGGAATCTATTGAAAAGCAAGCAGAGACTGCACGTAATATGTTTGCTAGAACAATTGAATGGTTTGGTGAAGCGCAAATTAAACCTAGTCCAGAACAATTTTTCAGTTTAATTGTTCGATTTATTAAGAATTTCAAAGTAAACATATTGAATTATTATTATTATTACCACTATTATTATTAATGTATTTCCTTGTTAGTAGTATTGTTGCATTTATTATATACAATAATGATTCTGATCATTGGTAATATATATTTAAAGATTAGATTATCTAAACTTATTAAACGACTATTGAATCAGCTATGTGTTCATCACTTATCATGACGTAATAATTTTGATTTAATTCGTGTCATTTGTACTTGTGTGTACGCATAATAATCTGTGTATTTTGTCATAAACTTTTAAGGTAAAGTTGTAAACAGATTTTACTGTAATTATCGATTTTTAGTGTTGTGTGTGTGTGAATTGACTGGCATCTATAGTGTTTTATTAGTGCTTCATTTGTTTCAAAGACATAATGACCTGGTTGACAACTTTTTTTAGTGGTAACTATTGACGCTTTGTTACATCGAGTACTTCCTAATAGTTTTTTATCAGTAAAATGCCTATCCGCTAAATAGACCTCCAGATCTTATACGACATAGCTCTGCCACTTTTTTAAGTAGCTTGCAAAATATTTTGTGTGTCTTTCTTTTTCAGAATGCAATAGTCGACAACGAAGCACGACGTCGTGTTGAAGCCCTTCAAAGTTTAAATTCTGTAACCGGTGATGATAATGGGCCATTATCATCAATCAATCAAATTTCAATCAACCATATTCCAAAAAGACCAAAAGATGTAAGTATTTGGTGTTTAACTTGTTGTTTATCAATTACAGTGTAGTCCTATACTTTATTTAATTATATAACCATCTTCATTACCATGTCGTTGACGAAAGTAAAGTATCTAAACGAGTCTATCGAAATAGAGCACGACCTTCAGGCTTTTGCAAAAAGTTCAAATGGCGTGCTTAACGAGTAGGTGAAATACCTGTACATAATCCTCATAGCGAAAAAGGTTATTTCGCCAACACAAAGCGAAAACGATAGTGTTCAACATATGAAATTCTCAATTATTTGTCAACTGTAAATAATAGGCAAGTCGACAAGACCTCATCTTAACCATGAAACTTTTATTCTGTTGGCACTATATTTTATGAACAACCTCATCAGGCAACGGCTCCTAGATTTTTTCGCAAAATCCATTCATCCATATGGCTACAGAGCATTATTACGTTATACCCCTAATCCTTACCCTAACAAGAAACAATGCGGACATTTAAAAATCTATTTTAATCCTCACAGTTGTTCTCAAAAGTCGATTATCTATATCCATAAAGACGAATTTATTCCGTTGTTTTATCGATCCAGTCACAGTAATCTATAGAAGACTTTAATAAGTTCATTTACTATCTGAAATCTGTTTGCCTTATTTGATTTTTTTTTTCTATAAACTGTTCATTTACAAAAGCTGTTTTCTGATCGATTAGATAAAGACTGGCTAAAAGTTCATCACGGTTGTTTTGAGCTCTCACTGAATTTTCCTTCTATTATTATTAATGATAATTATTAAATCTTGTTGTCCATTTCATGCAGTCATTAATAATCTGTAAATAATATCTGCTGATTACTCTTGTACACTGTTGCTTTTTCTGTAAATCCAATACTATTACAGTTTCATTTCTAATCTACCAAGGAATTCACTTTTCAAGTTAGTATTTTCTACAACTGTTAATTAAAACACTTAAAGTTGTGCTCTAAAATATAAAAAAGTGAACGAAACTGTAGTAATTGTGTATTATCTATCGACTTTTTTGGTCAACAAATAAACTATTGTTATTCAACTAACTTGATAAAATACAAAATAGTTAAAACTCAATGAAAATATCACTGGATGTGATCATTCAGTATAGTATCATATAAAATGGTGGTTTTGTGGAAAAAAAGTGGTAAATTTATAAAATTTCTCATTAGTATTTCTTTCTGTTGACTGTTTTAAATACATATGAACTTACAATTTGACATCATTCTAAATTCTTATATCTGTATGTATGCATCAGTGTTTAGGTTAATTATAATCTCAATGTTATTATGACTTACAGCACTGATATCTGTCAATTCCTCACATTTTTTTGTTTATTTTTCACTATATCTGACCTACCTTTCTGTGCCAATAATTGTTTTTCTATGTATTACTAACTATTATTTACCTGTTTACTACGTGTTTATTCGACTTTGAATTGTGATTCATGCATAACTGATGACTGGTTATACGACTATTATACGAAAATTAATAATACAAGTTAAATCATTTGTGATAATAATGAATTTGACAAAGTAGAATCTAGTGTGAATTGTTTTACAGTTGTTGCTATAGTTTACACTGATTCATTGTGATAAATCAAAATTTGGATAAATTCTTCACTCGTATAACTGTACAATACATTTAATTCGAGACTTTAACGATTCGTGATAAGTGATGTACATAAAAGACATTTCTCTGATTTGATAAACGTTGGTTTGTCAGTTGAACAATAGATTCGAGTACATTAGTTTTTAGGTTGTTATAGGTGAAGGACTTGAAATCTCGCAGAAAATCAGTCTCAGCCATAATAACTTAGTTGGTATCGTCCCAGACCTTATAGTTGAATGACTCAAATTTGGATTTATCTGAGAGCATCATTTCCCTTCAGATTTCATGTACTCCTTGGCAGGTAATACCAACCAGCTAACATCTCAAAATAGCATACTTTATGTCTACTCACAAGATCCCTAAATACAATACAGAAAACACAAACCCAATCACGCTTGATGGAGAAGATGTGTAATCTTTTACGTACCTAGAAAGCATTATCGAGGAACAAGTAGGATCCAATATAGATGTGAAGGCGACGATCGTAAAAGCAAGGACAGTATTCCTACAGTTGAACGACATATCGAACACAAAACAACGGTCTCCAAGCCAAAATCAGAATCTTCAATACGAACGTCAAGACAGTTCTACTGTATGGAGCTGAATTTGGGAGAACTACCACAACCATCATCAAAAGAGTACAAATATTTATAAACAGTTGTCTACACAAGACACTCAATGCTTGTCTTCCGGTCACCATCAGCAACAGTCTACTATAGGAGAGAACAAATCAGCTTTCAGCTCAGGAGGAAATCAGGAAAAGACGTTGAAAGTGGATAGGACACACATTAAGGAAATCATTAAACTGCATCATGAGGCAAGAGCTTATCTGAAATCCTGAAGGGAAAGGGAAAAGAGGAAGGCCGAAGAAAACATCACGTCTGGAATTGGAAGAAGACATGAAAAGGATGACTAGCAACTGGAAGGGATTGTCCAGGATAGCGTTGGCTTGAGAATGCTGAGAGGCGGCCTATTCTTTATCACGAGGAGTAATAGGAATAAGTAAGTAATGTCTACTCACTTGGACTAATGACCACATTGTATCTTCACAGATAAAATTTGATCTACACTAAAGGACTAAATAAAAACGATACTGTTTACTACTCAGTGATCAATAAAAGATAATGTACGCAATTCCGTGATAACCGCATCTTCATTAACTTAAAACTTTCCTCTTTTTCCCTTATTCCCTTACACACAGTTTCGTTTACTTGGTGATTTCTTTGGTATTAGTTCTTTCTTACACTGGTTTTCTTACGATTGGACCTATTCACTAAATTGTTTTTCATCAGTATTTCTTATTAATAATATTATCCATTTATTTATCAGGATGTTCCTGTTTCGGAGTTACAGGTTTGTTTGAATTCTGCCTATTGAACCTATGCATGCATATTTATTTTAATAATAGTTAATGATGAATATCATTACATAAATGATTACAATTGTAATTTTTAATTCTGTTATCATAATTTGGCCTATTTTTCACATCAGCATCACCACTTCCACTGACTGACTCATTCTTCTATTTAAAACAAACAGAACAAGTCGTAATTTCAAAATAAAATCATTTTTCTCAATTGTAATGTAAACATTATTATTGTATCCAATAGTTCTAGTCTAAATGTTTTTCGGTGTATTTGTGTAATATTTAGTTTTGTTTTATTTTGATGTGTTTAACTGGTGGATTGTTAATATTTAATTCTTTTTTTAATAAAAAAGACATTTTAAATGCGTATTAGTGTTGGTGTATTTTTCTACAAGGTGGGTACTGATTAGCTAATAGTGACCAGTAATAATGCCTCTATCATGTATCTATATACAAGATATACTTCTAATCTGTTCAATGATATTCTAGGTAATGTTAATCTTCCTCTTATTGTAAACCATTTTAAGTAACTCAATCAATTTAAAATGGTTTAAATTATTTTGTTGTGGATATTTTAACTGAAATTTGATTAGTTCTGGTTGGCATATGTGTATCTTGTGTGGATTGCTTCGATATAGCCATTATGACACAAGTTAACATTGAATAGATAAAATGTGGCTTAGTAAGGCTAATCAAATTTCAGTAAAAATATCGATAGCAGAATAATCTAAACCATTTCTAATTTCACAGATTAATGGTTTTCTAGACTCAGTAGCTAAGTCGAACACTCGACAACATTTGAAGCGAACACTACCAAATTCAAGCTTCGGAGTGAACAATAACTTTGGGATCCAAGTACACCCGGCTGGCAAGCCCGAAATAGAACGAAATGCGCGTCCTGTATTCCACTACCAGCTACATTCCATCTATTCTACATCATTTAAAATAATGTTTGAGTAGTGGTAAATGAGTTCTAGATCATTATTAGTAAGGATTATATTTCTACTGTTGTCGAGTGCTTGAAGCTCACTATACTAGGTTGAAGTCCCAATGTTGGGCATCAGCACTGACATCCACGTGCACCCTTTTGATAGGTCTAAAATAGGCTGATATTTAACCATAATCAATTTTAAATTAGTTTTATTTATGTCAGTCCAACTTACACGAGTATTCTTATCCAAGCTTCCCACGACATTTACGTCAGTAAAAATGATGGACCCTAACATTTAATATAAACTAACGCTGTTTTCCTGTTTACTTTTATTTTTAAATTCACACATTTTTTAATAGAATCTATTGTTTGTATAAATAAATAGACACGAACCTATGTAAAAATTATAATGGTTTAAATTTCGATGTTGTAACACGTCCCCGAATTTTTTTAATAGGTAAACTGCTACGTTTATTGTGAAATGGGAAATAATGTTAGTGGTAAAGTCTTTCATAAATGTCAAAATCACGTTCCGCTTATTTATCCAGTAATTGAGATTCACATAATCTGAAGCAGTAAACAAAGTGTAGGGGCTGATACTACGTCAAGCCCACACGAGTTATTCTAACCTCTGGGTAGTCCAATCTATTCATTCTTCTCAAGCCACATTTTACTCTGTCACTTGTTTTATTAATTCTGATTGTTTTTTATCTGATCGTATATGTGCTAATTACTTGCCCTACTCATCATGTGTCTGTAACTTATGTTTGTTTGTCTATAAATATCTATTCATATTTGATTAAATTGAGATGGTTCACTTGCTTTCTCCAACGCGCATCATTTCGTTTCTCATCGTTTCCTTGATTGTTTGTCTAGACCAACGATTCTATAAAATATACGTATTTAAAATTCATTCTCGTATTTGACTTATTTAATTCCGTTATTCACTAACGCGAGCCAAGTCGATGATAATATACGAAGGTTGGCAGTATTTATAAATCGATAGTATTCATTGTACGGTATAAGTGGAGTCAGATACATGGTCGCTAAAACAGCATCATCTCAAATAAGAAATGTTTTACAGATGAGTGTTACTAATAATATTAATAATATCATAAAAGTTTCCATTGTATCTTCTCTCTACTGATATTGACATTCTAAATATTTTACGGAAAAACCATTGCAATGTTGCCATTTATACTTTGTAATTCTTTAGAGAAAAAAGCTTTTAACTAGTATATTACTGCAACTTTTGTATAATTTCAGAGAAACAAATTTAATCTCTTTTAAAGTTATCTAAATTTACTAATGAGGTAATTTTGTGTACTACTAATTTAGCTCTCCAATTCTTCATTGCATCATCCTTCTTTTGTTATTGTTTTCGGTGAATTAAATATTGTGCGTTGAATAATTTTCCATATAAATGATCAGAAATGTACTGTAATCTAAACTATTTAGTTGAGCAGTAATTGTCGTCTAGTTGAATTCACAAAATATACAAATTGATTACTATAAACAGATAACTTTTTAAATTGTTCCATATCACTCTTAATTATGAATTGTAAATATGTGTCTGCCATTTGTTTATTGGATCGCATCATTTGAATTCGTGTTCTGCTTAACTACTGTTGTCTCTGTGTATTATGTTTACTGCTTTAATTCTGTTATCTGAATTTGATCATACGTAGATGTCTTTTTTCTGTTAACGCGTCAGCTGTAGACTCATGTGGTTGTCTCTCAGTCATACTAGAAGTGTGTGAGTTAGTGATACTACTCCGAGTCACTAAACTGAAGTAGGTGTAGCAGGGTTCAAACGTATGATTTCGTGTCTGAAAGTCAAACATCCTAACCACTAAGTCACTTTTTATTTGAAATACTCTTATTGAGTGCTGTCAGATTACCTGTTTAAAGTCCGCGTTATTACCTTAACCAATGGTTACAGACTTTGGATGACATGGCAACGAATTGTTCTCAATGGCACAGATCCATTCACACTGTGCTTTCTCTTAAATCCTGAACCCCATATTTCTCCATAACTTTTCCACTACTAACGATACTGTCAATACTTCTGCTTCTTTGGGATTTGCCTTAGTAATGTTGTTGTGGTAATGTCATGTAGCGACCTGGGCCGACGCACATATATGCCACGTTCTACATTATATTTAACTGACTGATACGAAGTGCTTGTGTTGGCGACTTGCCCAAAACTGTCTTGGATAAACTCAAAGAATATCCTAGAAAGTACGTGAAATGTTTCTTCATAATATGTTTTACAGTCAGGAAAACTTCCTTGTTCTTCGCTTAGTTGGTTATTGAACATTTTTAACTTTTTGTAATTTTCATGCTTTCTATATCATGGACTGATCAATGTTAAACCACCATTGAAAACCTAGAAGCATTGGATAATTATTTCAATCTAGTAGGGTACTCCTCAACAGTGCTCATCCACGACACCACATCCAGGATTCGTACCCAACACCTTAAGTATCACGCGCGAACACAGCCTCTAGAATACTGAGCTGCGATTGAATGATGTATATATATACCTTTAATCAATTAACGATATTTTTCCACCATCTCTTGACTGTGATGTATAACTATTTCATAACTGATTTGATTGTACTGTACTGATCACTGCTTCCCTTTGTAATCTGTAAACTTTTTTTGCCAATAAAGACAAATCAATAATTGTAAAATAGTTTTCAAGTGCTATTAGGTGTTTCGCAAATATTTTCAGTGTTGTATTTCATATTTTCAATTTTTTAAACGGTCCACTGGGTGGTTGAAATTATCAATAATTTGTCGATTATGTTCTTGTATTTTACCTATAATAATTTCATTAATGTTTTTGTATTCTTCACAATGGAGCGTTTTTCCGTCTTTTTTTACAAAGACTACTTATTACTCAAACTATTTTTCTCTTTTGGTAACAGAACAATCTTTAATTTTCGGGATCATTTAATGGTAGATTACACGGTGATCAGATTATATTGACTAACTTGAAGGTAATTGTTTCTACAACTATTACTATCGACCTAATATCGATAAAACCACTGCTGACAATGTAGCAAAGTAGGGTTTTTTTATAAACAATATTACTTATTTAATGAGTGAGGTTGATTATTCTAGGCCAAACTTTACTAAGTAACTTGTTTATGTTTCGTTCTGTTCATGCACATAAAATGACTATGGGGCTTATTTCAATTATGGAAGCTTAATTCCTACACTCAGTGTACCTCAATGGTAACGTATTTGAAAGTGACACTAGTCGTAATCATCACTTCTCTCTAATTAATAGGCATGCCTATACTCCGATATGTTAAAACTATTATACGTCAGTATATCAATCGAATACTTCCAGTACTGTGTTATTTGTTCACTGTTTCGGTTTTTATGGTGAACTTTTTTGGATTTCTCCTCTTCATGATTATCCTTTTCAGTATAATCTGTTCTAGGCAGTTCTGTATGATATTTTCGTACTTTTGCAAAAATTTATATATTTGACACCAACTTACTATACTATGTGTAACTGATGTTTTTTTATTACGGTTACTTGATTTGCACAAGACCACACATAACTTTGTATTCAAATGCGTAAGAATATTGATTCAACTGTGTTGTGAAATTTAGTTGAGAGGATTACTATATCCATTTGTTTAAGAGCGAATTTGGTTAATCGTTGTATGCTTTTCACTTCTAGTTCTGTTTACATCACAAAAACATACCCTACCTGTGTCAACGTTTTTTAAAATTTCGTTTCAGCTACTCGTTTTGTAAATCAGTTATTCTTCCTATCAAAACACCTCTAGGCTTGACTGTATATTTTATTTGAATATATATTAAATGTACTGCATAATAGTGATCTTTCAAGGACATATATGTATACACTGTTATCAATTAAATATAAGCCACAGTGTTAGATCAATTGCAAGCACAACTCTGTTGATGTATATCATGTTGTACGAGTACTGAAGTTACTGTTAATTTCCCTACACCAAGTCATTCTCAGTTCATTCAACCATAAAACTCCATATTCGAAGGCTAAAAGCTCCAAACTAACTAGTATTTCCTTTCTTTATTGTTTTACATTAAACATTACCAAGTATTTCCTTAGACTAAATTTGGTACATGATAAGTGAGACTACCAGTGATCTCAACCGTAGTAGTGTTTCTACTCCACCCAGTTACATTCCTTAATTCTAGTTAATACGGCTTATTATGAAAAGTCTAATACACTTCATACAATCCAGTGTTATATTTTCACCAAATTTACTTATGACAACATAGAATAATCCATATGGATACTTATTTTACACATCTTATCGACCTGTTTTACTGTTTAACGAATTTCAGTATATTTTGCAATGCAATTTCAATTCATCCAGTATGTTAGGTGATTGCTTCAAATATTTAAGAGCTGGATCTTCATTTTACTATCGTTTTTCTTATAAGAACACTTTTTGATTTTAAAACAATAATTTATTGGTGTTAAAATATGAAGATTCACCTTAATTTTATCGAACTGAACACATTTGCTAATAAACTGAGTTTTTGTAGTCTGTCCAAATGATTTCGATAAATATACAAGTTTGGTTCATTTGGTTATTTTGAAGTTCGCAACTATTCGATCTCGTTTACGTGGTGAATTTAATTAGTGACTTTCAGCCTACTAGTAAGTAGTATGATTTTATCACTCACATTTGTCTTCGTACTTCAATATGACTTTTTATAGAATTAGATGTAATCACTTCCTTCATTTTTATCACAGTAAGTTGGTTTCCTGATTCGCGCTCATAATTAATGCTTTTAAATCAAATGATTGTTTTTGCCTTGAAAAGATTGTTCTTCACATTTTTTCTGTGTGGAATCAGAAATTTTTTCTCTGCTTTGTAGCACTTGAGTGCGACTGTTTATTCTTCTTATTTTAGAAGCGTTTGGCACAAGAAGCTCGGTTGGCTAAACGACGATTTAAAAATCGTACTAGACAGATTACAGGAGATGGAATGATGGATGAAATTCTAGCAGGTATCTTGTCATTTTATCGTTTTGTCTGATTTTGTACTGTTTTTTGACCGTACTTAAAGTATTATTATGGTGTGTACTGTTCATGTGGAAAAGCATAAGTAGTATATAGTAGGAACTGGGAATGAAGTGCTTACCAAAAGAAGATTGAAACAAAGAGAAAGGTGGGGAAAACTGGGAGCAATAGGAATAACAACTAGAATGGAAGAATGATGTAGTGTGTAAGGGACGAGCGAAGGAAGATATGCAAATGATGTATTTAATGTCTGATTTCCATACTTTACAAAGGCCATGGTTTTGAATAAAAAACTAAGTTGGTTTCCCCACAAAGTCTTCTTTCATACGCACAACGAAGTTTCTGATATAGTAGAAAAATATTGTGTTATTTAAAATATAATTGGAAATCGCACTCATTTTCTCAATATTTCGTAAACGATGAGGTAAAATGAAATAAAGTGAAGATAAATTTTGAATTAGAAGTTTGAAATATAATTACCCGCTTAAATAAATATTTAAAGTGTTTTTTTAAAGTAACGAACAAAGAGTACAAACTCCCAAACGTAGAAGCACGTTCTAGGTTCAAGGTAAAATGAAGTATTCGACGTCTTCTGAATACCGACCACTTTTGTAACAATGGATTGCTAATGCTTATACTGTTTACAATATTCCTATCCGCAATCCTTTTAAGCTAGTTTTTTAAGTCTTGTAAATAATATTGTTGGGTTACCCGATCAGAGTTGACTAGGTATATGTGAATTTAACCACTGAGTGTACTATTTTCTTTTTTCAATAGTCATACAATATAATGGTTGAAGATGCTTTTTGAAAATATATACTTTGTTTAGTTGATAATATAACTCACTCCATAATCATCTCATAAATGATTCTTACGTGAACCCTTCATAACTTTAAGCATTATCTTCTAACACCAAACAGTGGCAGTAACTGGAAATTTCTTTCACATCATATTCCCAATTGATTTGTTTTTCTATTATGAATTGACTCGTAAATTGCTTATTTTCTTGTCTATTCTACATTATGTGAGTTTTCCTACTAAAGGTTATCAATCTTTGACCTCAAGCCGAAGTTAAGCATTGTTGTATGTATATATTTATTTCATGCGATAACTAATTAATATTTTTTTGGTATTTTATAGTCTTAAGTTTTTCTATTCTTCGACTGTGCATAATGTTAATATTCATTAAGGTTTACTTGATTAATGGTAATAATGCATTAAAAATTCTTTAACTTCTCTGTAAACAGAAATTTAGAATGTTATCAATATAAATTGTATCACTGTCTTACTTCCTAGTCCTCATCATCGATGTTCACAATATTGAATATATGTATTTAATAATCACAGTACTAATATACCAAAATTTTGTTGTCACATCGCTACGTGATTTGTTCTAACCCTGGTACAGAAAAATTAGTCTAATCTTTTTTAATTATCCTATCATCCATATGTATGACCTTGCATGTGACCATGACGATGCTTGTATGCTAGTACATGGTGTCTGTCTCTTTCGTACTTATCAGAAATGAATCACATATTACTCACTGAGTTGAGACATTCTCCTCCGCTTTGTATCTTTCATCTTAACGTCTGTCATAGTCAATTCGTGTTTGAAATAAATTCGTCTAACTTATTTCGTATTTGCTTTTTTATTAATATCTAAGTAGAATATGCCAAATCAAATGGATAATTTATGGTCACGGTTCATTCATCGTCCGTTCATAATGTAATCAAATCACGGGCCTAGACTAAACTTGTCATTAAACGTGGATAACTAAAAATAATAATAAACCCTGTGTCACCCAACTTCACAGTCAGAGATGTTACCGATGAGCTGTTCGGGTCGCGACTGACCCCTTGTGAGACAGAGATGTATGTAAAATTGGTTGATCATTGAGTAACTCATTAGTTATAAACTAATCGATTCGAAATAAGATTACTTACAATCGTAGTTTAGAAGTAAACATGACAATTCAGTTTGAAAGGGATTAATAAAATATAATTTTAAACTTTCCACCTATTAACGTATAAATAGTGGATACATCTGCACCACTGTAATCGATCTTTATCCATATCAGCTTGATTATTTGTATGAGGGAGAGTTGAAGTACACTTATTTTTGTTTAATAACTAACCATCTCGTTCATGATTTATGAAAAATTTAATTAGTATTATTCTTCTTTTATTATTGTTAAAATCGTTAAATAATCTTAAGTATCTTTAGACTGAGAACGTACATTTTTTCTTTAAATACTACTATATATTATTCCGCTTAAAACTCAATCTGATGATAATTCATTCGTAATCCTCCTCCGTAGGTTTCTTTTTTCATTTTCAACTATTATTGTTGCTTCAGTATGGGATTGTGGAGATTGGTAAGTTTTTGATTGAAATCATGAATCGATCGATGTTAGACCACTATTAAAAATTTGGAAGCACTGGACGGTCACTTTATCCTAGTATGGGACTCTTCAGCAATGTATATTAATCTTATGATTTTATTGATTTCGGTTAATTGAATCATTCAACTAATGATAATCTTTTTTTTTAAAAGTAATAAACACTTTATTTGTATTTTTGTACATTTTATAGATTTATTCGTATATATATTTATAAATGATAAATTATTTTATTTCATAGGTCTAATATCGGAACCATTGCAAGCTGAGGTTCATCCACATCGCAATCGTTTATCTGAAAATAATAATTGAAAAGTTTTCTTCTTAATTTCTGTCCATAAATCAAACAATTGTCCACACACACACACACACTACACACCTATTAGCTTGTTGTGTACGCCCAAATCAATCAGTTAACTTGTCTTTTTGCTTGTTCATTACATTTTGATTTGTTCTTTTTTTCTTCCTTGTAATTCACGTTAGTTTGTTCATTGTGACTTGGTGTTTTTTATTGTTTGTGATGACTAGTCAACTGACAGATCTACATACATATGTGTAGTCTTCTGTTTTGATTGTGCTTCAATTAATTTATATATAAATATTAAGATCTTATCTAAATGATCATTATCATTTTCTTCTCTGTATCCAGTTCATTTAACTCACCATTGATCTGTTGTTTGCAAGTTGGAGAGATTGACACATTGAAACATATTGTTTTGTAATGTTCATTTGAAGTACAGTGTTTATTTTTTTTAAAAATTAGTCATTTCAAACCTGTTTTTTTGAAGAAAAATCTAGCTGGTTTGCAACAATACTTTTGTTTTGCTCTATTATGTTCGAATGTATCGTTGTCGGTATTAATTAGTGTTATGTGTTGTTTTTGTGTTAATATCCACACTGTTTTTATTTGATGATATTCGAGTGTTTGTTATGTGTTTGTATTATCACTGTAACACAAATTCCACTTCTTTCTAAGTTGCCTTTCTATTAATTTACTTGGTAAAACTCGTTGTTATTGCTTTCTTTTGTCATATTTCTCTACTGATTATTATCTACAGTTTATTCTACTTAGATATTATTACTAATGATGGTTTCTTTATCTATGAAAGAAAAAAACATTCTTTTCTGTTCAATTTTAAATCTAGTCACATTTTTAGATGATTATATCATAAACTACATGTCTCTTCATCTCTCTCTTACTCCTTATTTGTTTACTGCCTTACTTGTCTTCTCGACTCCGAAAAGGTTTTTTATACTTAGGAAGAGGAAAAAATAAACGATGATCTCCCGGTTAACCTAATTTCTGGTTTTTTTTTTAATTATTAAAACAAAACCTTTTCAAATGAACACATATATATAATATCTGTATAATAATTATTAATTGTATTTTTACACTGAGTTCAAGTATACTATTCTCTTTCTTTACTTACCTAATTAATATTCTTTTTAACTAATTTAGTCAGTTGTATTCTATATTGTTGTAGTTGTTGCAATCATATTGCCTCTTGTATGTTTTGTTAAAGTTGACATGTATTTGTACACATATTTATTAATTCGTTGAAATAACAATCAAATATTCTTTTATTGTATTATGATTTTCGAATTATAATTTTCTTTTGTATATCTTCCTCTTTACTTACTTTTTGGTAGATTTATTCATAGAATGTGTTAATCAGGGGAGGTTTTATTTCCAAAATGAATTGATACACTTAAATTCTCTTCTTCAAAATTGAATACATTGGTCGTCTACAAAAATTTAACTTTTCTTTTCTTGTATAAGTTATTTCACATTCATCTTTCATAATTATTTATCACTTATAACTGCCTATGAATGTTGATGTGCTTCGCTTTGATTTGTTGATTGCATAATTGTGACAATAATGAACGGTAAGAAAATGGTTATACTGATATTGTTGTAAATTCACTGGACATAGTACTATGTGTTTTGTTGAAATATTTTATTCATTTTTTTTATACCAAGAATATTCCTCATTTTGTAATTGAACTTTGTATTGAAACTATTGCTTACGTTCATCTTGGTTTACTGTTTAATTTTTTTAAAAATTTCCTTACTATTCGTTTATAAATCTGTATAAAATATTTACGTGTTAATTTTGGGTTATAATTTATATATATATAATATCGTATCAGGTTTTTGTCTTATCCAGCTGATCGGAGCTATTACATTCTTCAGATAAGGAGTCAATACATATTATTCATTCTATTCTAAGAGATAATTCTGTTAGATATTTGAAACTGTACACAGTTAATGACATGATCATTTTCCTTGTGTACTCAAGGGTAAGTTTGTACTTTTGCTATAATCCTTCAGAATCCAGTGATTTAACTAGTGATCCACAACCCATAAAACGACTTTTTTTAATATCAAGCATTGAAAAACTAAAAAATTAGTAGTATATCCTAGTAAATAATAAAAATTCTATTTGTCTACTTTTCCCTATTTGTCATTTAATTTATTTGCATGTTTTAATTTTTAACAAACTGGTTGACTTATTCTTCAAAGATTCTTATATGCATCTGTTAAATAGTAACAGAGGATGTAGTCTGAAATTGTTTAGTTCATATTAAATGCTAATTGGTCAGTAGTGTTGATAAATAGTGAAGTTACAGCTTGTTCTTTAAACGTTGCTGCATGTTTAAATAAAAATACTTTTCCACTGAATAGTTTAAGAAGCCTATCATGTAGTTTAATATGTATACTAATTTATTCTATATTCATGTATTTATATATACTGAAAATACAAGGCATAATATAATTTGTTAAAAGAAAGCAAATTTAGCCATTTTATGTATTTGAACGAAGCTACATTTCCTGATTGTCTGAGTAAACAAAACTTTAGTTAAGGTGTAATTACAAATCAAGGTAAAACAAGGTGTGAATATGTGGGGTGAACTTCATTAGGTACGTAATTCAGGTAATCTATCATTTAGCTTGATAAATCCTATCTGAAACTAAATATTTCTTGACCAGTCTTCGTTTTTTCAGAATCTACCTCTTGATGTGTGAAGTTTTCATGTGATCAGTTTTAGTCGCGTTCTTTTGTCAAGTGGATAATTGGAACTGTTAAATTATATTAAATCTCTCAATTACTGTCATAAATAGTTTGGTTGGGATTGTAAAAAATCTATGAAATGAATTAAGTTTACATTCTTCTTCTCCAGTTGTTGTACTGGTCAACACTTCTAAAGTGAAAAAACTGTATCTGAGAGAAGACAGTTTATACGAATGAATTAGTGGAGGTTTTCTGTCATTATGACTCCTTATAGTTATCTCACGTCATAGAATATTTCCTTACTTAACGAGAATTATGTTAGTTTTAAAGGAAAGAGTATTCGTTACCAGTTGACAACAGGACTCAAAATCGGACTTACATTTTAACATATAGAAATACAGTTTTATTAATGTAATTCGATTTAAACCAACCCATATATTTAGTGGGACAAAATAACCGTTATTGTTGGAGTTTCTCTGGGTTTGATGGTTTAATTGTGAACCTTTAACTAACCTTCTGGACGAAATTTGCAGTAACTCGAATTCCTCACCATCTGAAGTTTGTGTGCTGTTGATCTCATCCAGAAGGATAATGTTGTACGACTGTACAACCCATCTCATACAACGAAACTCCATAAAATCAATCACCTGAACCACAAATCTTCCTTAATTCATTGTAAAAACTTTACTACTTACAACAAAAACTTTATTCCTATTGTACAATTACAATAGTAGCCTGATCTGAAATGTTCTTTGGATATTGCAGCATACTTTGAACAATATTATTATTATACTTTGAATGTCCTCTATTCAAGACCGCTGTTTGCACTACCTAAGACACTATTAATAGTAAATATTACTCATATACTACTTATATCTTAGACAACAATACTACTCTTTTCATCCTCATTTAATCATTTTACCTAACCTCCTTATACAAAATACATTTAATTGAACTGTCATAAAATCATTTTTTTATTGTCTTCTTGTTATAAAAATGCTTTTCTTATAAACCCTGTTGAAGATATGTGACTTCCGAATTCATATGAAGTAAATAGTCCACTGAGAGACTGATTACAGTGAAATGGAAACGTGTGCAGTAGATACTAATATCATCTAAGTCATTTTTATCTGTATTTCGTTATGTTATCTGATATCGGTTCTCTTAGATCTTTACATTCCATTGATCTCTGTTCATTCAATCACTTGTTTCGTTTCACTGAACCGATCAAAGTTAAACCACCATTGAAAACCTGGAATTACTCGACGGGCGTTCTATCCTAGTGCGGGACCTCTCAGTAATTCACATCCACGACCCTACACGCAGGAATCGAACCCAAAACTTCCGGTCTAGCACGCGAACGCTTAATCTTCAAACTACTGAGCCGGCATTCAGCTGTATTAATGTCTAACATCAATCAGTCCACTGTATTGTGCGACCATCTTCCATTGTATTTGGTGGGTAACTACCTCACCCCCGATAGGGTTGAGTTTCACTGATACTGGCTTCTCACAGGAACTCTAAGAATTCCCTGTCAAAGCTAGCCACCAGTGAGCACATGGTAATTAACAGCATAGAATTGTGGAGATTGTTGACTCTCACTGAAATCATTAACCGACCAGGTTTCCAATGGTTGTTTAACATCTATTGGTACATGATTTCAGTAAAACTTAAAAACCTACACAACCCTACACTGAAACTTGTTTCGTGTGTCGTGCAAAAAGTGAGTCACTTGGAACTGGTTTTATACATCAATTTAATTAATGCCTGTAATATAGTCATCATTGAATATATCAGATAAACCTTAAATTTACGAAGAACAAAACTCACTCATGGACGTTGGTTAGTAGTGGAATCCAAGACTCGCGTCTCGTCCTATTATGGGCTCGTCAGATGGATTGATCTTCACTCTGAGAATCAAACCCATCACCGTACTCTTCAAACGCCATTGCGTTTTTTCACTTAACTTCTGATAGCTATTAACTTGTGCATTTCTAGCCATCATCCATTCCTCCTTATAATGCTTGTGACTTAATTCAATCATCACAGGATGCACATATCCTAATAAGAGACTGATCGATTACAGTCCTAAACATCAATGCTCAGGATACATATGATGGCAGCAAGGAAAGTCTAATCATTTGCAATTTTTTAACATCATCAATGAAGAAATACATTTTCTGGAAAACAAATAAATAAATGTATTAGGCAAGTAAGAGGGTCAAAATTTTTTATAAAGTCAATCAAATTAAGAGTAAGAATGCCACTCACCATTGAATTTGACATTTATTGAATACTTCATAGTTTTCAATGATTTTTAATTAAAATTACTTACAACAAGAAATCAACCTCTTCTAATAAATACTACTTGAATGTTATAATAATGAGATAAATACAGGTAATGGTTGTTTATTAAGAAAAAATACAAACATATAAATCTTACAATTTAATTTGAATTAGTAAACAATATATGCTCGTCATCATTTCATATGATGCATACAGAACGTTCAATGTTCCTAGATATGATTGACAAGTATTAACCATTATATCAATATCTATATTGATTTATATTATTATTTTCTAATTTATGGAAGATATGTAACATAATGTTTATTCTTTCTTTTATCACTATCAATAACTGTATGATATTTTTTAGTTCCACCACCGAATTTCGACTTGCCAGAACGTTTCATTCTACCATAGATATCATAATTGAAATAGTTTCTAATTTTACCTTTTGGATCTTGTTTACCACTATGATGATATGAGATTGATTCTTCATAATCTGTTGTTTTTAAAGCATCACCAAATAGAAATATATCATCTCGTAGTTTATTTTCGTCAATATAATCATTATAATCTTGCTTTGATGAATATTTATATGGGTTATAATTATTGTAATTAGTAATACTATTATAAAGTGCTTTGGCATGATTATTATTTTTACCATGGTTATAATTTATTGATGAATATATGTCTATTGGTTTATAGTTCACTTTTCTATTGTATGAATGATAATTTGAAGGGATATAATTTGATGGTTCACTTGATTCAGTATAATAATAATCATCATTTTTATTATAATCATTAATTCCCAAATTTTTGTAACCATGAGGATATTCTGTATTTGATTTTGGATGAATTTCTTTAAAACCTCCATTTGGATTTTTTTTCGCTGATTTACTTGAGAAATATGGACTAAATTGACCATGTTTAAGTTGAATTGTACGAAGAGTATAATACTTTTGTTTTAGATTTTTGGGATAAAATACATATAATTTATCATCAATTGGAAAATAATCTTTTAAATAGACTAAACTATGCGGTACATACTTTTGATGTTTATATGATGTTGTAGGTAGATTAGAATAATCACGAATATATACATTATTCTCAGCATTATATGTATCATAGTTATTGTGGAGGTTATCTTCATAATTGTCTTCATTCCCGTAATAATTTTTTTCATAATGATCATTATATTGACCTTCAGTAGCATGTCTTCCAACCGTTCTTGTTTGATAATTAACTAATACATCTTGTCTTGGATAATATTCATCATATTGAGCATTATAATCTTGGCCTGCATAATCATTATACGTACCACTGTATTCAACTGGTCCATAGTATTGACCAATGTCATCATAGTTAACCTGATAATTTGAAGTAGGCAAATAGTTCAAATTAGTTCCAGTGTCTTCATACTCGACACCATTATTACTAATATAATCTTCGTCAACAACATATCCATACGGTATTACTTGATAAGTGTCATATGTTTCACCGGTTCCTTCATAATATGGCTGTTCACCTGAAATAATATCCTCTTCAGTAGTATAGTAAGTTAAACTATTTGGTAGGTATTGCTGATATCTGCTATTGTCTTGTGACATTAACATAATATATCCTAAACATTGTGACCGAATAATTAAAAATATGATTAATATTAATTGTCTTATATTTAACACTTTCATTTAGACAAACTTCTTTTTGTCACTGTTTATAAGAGAAAATATATATATGTATATTTACGTGTAAAATCATGAATAACTCTTGTTTTATATTACTTTTAACAAGTTTGCTTAAATTGGTCAATAACTTCTTCGATTAGTATACAAATACGTAATTATATTATTAGCATTTACGCAACTTATTATTATTATTATTATTTACTTCATATATTCGTCAACATTTTCTATCCTCCTCCTTATACTTAAAGTACAGTGCATGCTACTTTATTAATTTATCAATTCGAACGTACTTTGTTATTATTACATAATTCATTTATTATAGTCCTTTAATTATATAAATTGAATAGAGTGCATTGAAAGCTTTAGCTTATTTGAAAAAAATAAACAATAAATCCTTTACAGAGACCATTGTCAAAATTACATTCATTTCTACAAATATT